CATGATTCATCGAGAGGTTCAAGATCCTGAGGTGAAGAAGCAAATCGAGGAGCACGGTGTCGATGATCCTTTTCTCTCCGAGGAGACGGATCCTATGCAAACAGATGCGATAGAAAGCTGCCTGTGGGAGCTTGTTCAACTTCAATCGCATTATCATCCTAATGTTGCAACTATCACCAAGATCATCTCGGAGCAATTCACAAAGCAGTCTTACAACATCGAAGATTTCCTCGACCACTCATATGCCACTGTAAGTCCCCATACCTTCAGCAATATATGTCCGGCGCCTTGCTAACACTCACATAGCTCCTCGAAGCCGAGATGACAAAGGATGTAAAGAAGGCGCCAGTTATTGAGTTTCACATCCCCAAGAAGGTCTTCACGCCAAATGACGGGGGGGCTGATGCCGAACCAGATAGCTTACTAGTTAAACTGTGGGACTTTGGCAACTGAAGTTGATTAAGCATTATTTTTGATACCACGCACATCTTGTTCTGGAGGAGAGTGGTTCCACAGGGAAAAAGACGGAACTCAGTACTACTTTGGTATATATCAGTAGAATATATGCTGATAATAATAGAAATTTAGACTTGACATATCAGAAATAACATAGCTTTAAAGTTAAAATATTTATAACATGTAGAGAGCGCTTGTCAATCTTAAACTTGGAGCCAAGAAAGCTGAAGACTCGGTGACAATTTCCTAACTTGTAGTGTAAAATATGCAAAAAGACAATATCCGGTCCTCCAAATGATCGGTCCTATCGACGCGGGCCTGATTCGAACAGACGCCTCCGAAGAGAATAGATTTCTAGTCTATCGCATTAGACCACTCTGCCACCGCGCCTTCGCTGAGGATTGACTCCGGTGAAAATTATCCAGTACCAGGAGGACGCCTGCTCGGGATATCAAGCTGAATTGTTCCTATGTCAACTCGGGAGTAGTTCAGGCTGGCTCTTTGTAATCACTTTGAGTGCAGGTATGTGGCTTTATGGAAGATACCACTAGCATGGAGCGAACTTCAGGGCATATGCTTATATTGATGGAACACATTCACTTAGATATATGCCAGCAAGAGTCAGATACTATGTAGTGCATCAATTGAAACTGTAGATGGAAATAAAGATATCGTAGCTTAATTTCATCACTTGTATAGTTGTTCAACCAAGACTGACCACAGAATAAGTCGACGTTCCAAAAGGTTCAATGACTACCTTTACCTACCCCTAGAGGTATCTGTCACTGGCAACCTGAAGCAAGTCACCCCAAACTGTGGGGATCCGTTGCTATTTACAGCAAGTGCATCGCCATAGGTTACCTGTATCTGTTTGCGGCTTGAATCGCCGCTAAAGTTAGCATGCTGTTTACTGTGAATACATCACGTGGGCAGTAATTGTGGCCATCGGCCGTTTACCACAAATAATATTATAACAGGAGAAAGTTGACACGATAAAAAGGTTCATTGGAAAAAAACGCGTATATCTTAACTCTAAAAAATAAGGTGATTCTTGGGCCCTGATCTTGGCCTCCACTATTTCAAGGTTGTCTCTTAGTGGAAACTACACTAAATACATCCCTGTCAACCTTTGATACCTGACATCATTACCTCTTCATTTGCAGCTCCGAGCGAGAAATTCCACTGACGTTGGTGGTCTTCCTCTCCTCCTCACCACCTTTCTTCTCTTTTTATCCGTCTCACAGACGCTCGTTCGCGCATTGAAGGTATTCGCGATGTCGAGCAATCGTTTTGCCGACCTGGCAAGCACTAGCAAAGCGACTCCTCCTGCTTCGACCTCCAATCAACTCCAGGCTCCTGAGTCGTCAAATAACTCCAACGCATCCAAGGCTAGGAAGAGGAAGGGTCATCGCGGTGGTAGGAAGAAGCGAACGCGCAGAAAGAGTTTTGCGGCATTGGATGATGATGAACACGATGAAGATCGTGAAGCAACGGGAGAAGGGTTCTTCAATCTTCCGAGAGCCAACTTGAGCAATACCAGCATAGACAGTGAAGCATTGTTGGATCATCGGTGAGCTAGATCGATCGGGACGAATCTTGAGGGCAATCTCCTAACAAAACCTTTAGTGACCATCAACCATTGCGTCCCCGTCGAGCATCAACGACGCCAGCTGCAAGTGGCATACCAGTCTCACCTTTCTCAGGTTCAGCCAGCAACCGTCTACGATCGATACCAGCTGTCTCCACCGAGGAAGAGCATCCTGATCACACACCGTGGGACGAAAACGCACCATTGCTCGGCGAATCAGTGGTTTCTGGTTACGGCGCAAGTGAGGCAAGATCAAACCAAACGAGAAGTCGTCGCGCGTCTATCAAATCTTCAACGACGCGCCTAGGAACTTCTTCTGGCGCAAGAGATAACTACGATGTCAACGCCCCTCCATCCATGCCAGGCTCGCCCACTTTTGGTACAGCTGACCGTATAGAACTAAGTTTAGGGGATGTTATGATTCGGGATGAGCTTGGGGCAAGTCGCGACGACTCTCCGCACCGCATAATGGGTGACATCGACATCCTCTCCGACATGGAGGGCATGGGTGACAATCGCCCTGATATGGGTCGGCGTATGGCAACCGGAGCTGAGCAGGACGTTTGCTTTCCGGCTCCTGGTATGTCGGAGCTCGGAGACGACGATACACAATCGCAGGCTCATGAACACCGCCAATATCGAACGCGCCGCCGCCGTGGTCAATGGCCTGATTTATCTGTACTGGAGGAGTGGAGTCACATGGAAAAGGAGGACCGAACGGAAGAGCGCCGTGTAAAGAGGATCACAGAACCGCAACTCATCAATGGCCGCTTGCGCCCTGTGCGCAAGGGATGGTATCAGACGGACGAGGAGTCTCCATATCGTTTCACATATTTCAACGAGGAGTTCCAGAGCACAATTCATAGTCAGACTATTTCTGAGCTGGTCCAGCCTGGTGGTGGTTTCCGGGAACTTTTTGTTCCAGATCCTCGGGTGCTCTCAGATGATGAATCAGATGAAGACGACATGGAACCTACAGCGCTTCCAATGGGCTTGCGCCATCACAGTACCGCTACAACAGAGGGCAACTCTAAAGTTCACACGCGCCAACCATCACTATCGACAGTTCAAGATCACCACGACTTGCGCGAAGGAACTACATCGCCGCTCAAGGATCCTCTCGCGCATGTTGCTTCAAGAAGTGAATCTGGTCGTGCTACACCTACTGGACGGAAGTCTACCGATGAAAGTGCTCACGTCTCTCAAAACACTGCAGGCGAACCAAAGGAAAGGGCTGTCAGGTACGGAGAACGACCAGTCTGGTGGCTTGATGTCCTCTGCCCAACTGAGCCTGAGATGAAGGTCATATCTAAAGCTTTTGGCATTCACCCACTTACCGCAGAGGATATTATGCTTCAGGAGGCTCGCGAGAAGGTCGAGCTCTTCCGACATTATTATTTTGTTAACTATCGGTCGTTCGATCAAGACAACAACAGCGATAACTTTCTTGAGCCGGTGGATATGTATGTCGTGGTATTTCGCGAAGGCGTTCTCAGTTTCCACTTCTCGAAGACACCTCACCCGGCCAATGTCCGACGCAGAATTCGGCAACTGAAGGACTACCTCATTCTTTCTTCAGATTGGATTTCATACGCTATTATTGACGACATCACCGACGTGTTTGCTCCCTTGATACAGAATATCGAGGACGAGGTTGACGAGATCGATGACGCTATCCTAAAGCTGCATTCATCTGCCGACAAGCGACTTAATGAGACTTCTTCCAAGAATGACGATGCACTTACAAACTCAGATCCAAGCACGGATATGCTTCGGCGAGTGGGAGATTGCAGAAAGCGAGTTATGAGTCTATACAGGTTGTTGGGTAACAAGGCAGATGTCATTAAGGGATTTGCTAAGCGTTGCAATGAGCGGTGGGAAGTTGCGCCACGGTCTGAGATTGGTCTGTATCTCGGTGACATTCAAGATCATATTGTCACGATGACAGCTAACCTTGGCCACTATGAAAAGTAAGATTTCTCTCTACGACTGGAGCTACAGTTTGCTAATATGTACAGGATACTGGCTCGGTCTCACGGTAACTACCTCGCGCAGATCAACATACGGATGAACGAGCGTCAAGAACAGACGGCAGATGTTCTCGGCAAGCTTACTGTTCTTGGTACGATTGTGCTCCCTATGAACATCATCACGGGTCTTTGGGGTATGAACGTATGGGTGCCAGGCCAGGAATACGAAGGAGACCTTACGTGGTTCTTTTGGATTACTGCTGGCCTGTTGTTCTTCGGCCTGGCATGCTATATGATCGCCAAGAGAGTGTATAACATTGTTTAAAACAACAACCTCTTACTGCATACGACTAGCTATAAGGGTTAGACATTGGTGTTTTTTTGCGCAATCTGATCCGCGGCACATGGCAAGGCACACAGCCAACTTGCCACAGCTGCTTTGTTCTCTTTGTCATATTGGTGTTTGGAGAGTTGTTTTGGAAAATGGCTGTATATTTGGGACTCGCTTTTCTGCGAAAACGTATACCTTTGGGCTGTTAGAAATGGTGGGACTGCTAGGAAGTTTTTGTTCTATAGGCGGTGTTTGTGGTTAGAGATTACACAAAATTGTTATGAACCACTGTTAGCATACTTGCATGCTTCTCTCGAATGGTTATTACGATATTAAAGGGTCTGTCCAATTTCCTGGGTTATTCGGTTTCCACAACGAACATATGTTGAACTCTGTCTGTGCTTGGTGATTATCTCAATCCATACCTATTCAACCCATATCGTTTCAGAAGCTATGGAGTTTTCTCTTGTCCTACTAGTGAGGTAGTCTTTATTTAGTACCTAAAGTCCCCATAGTCTGTTCAATTTACAAATATCATTCGTGAGTTGCCAAATTAATGGTATTCAACCAGCATGAATTATTGAGCTGGACCAACCTGTGAAGCGGCCCACCCTATACTTGAGCCACGATCTGGAACAGCATTTGTCCTCACAGCATCGAGACCAAAAGCTACTATTGAGAATGCTACGTCTAAGAACCAAGTGCGGAGAGTTATAATTTGATTTATCGTGCTTCTAGATTTACACGCCTAGTACATTGCAGGTGTTGCATTGCTTTCCGGTTTATTGCCCAGTAATGGCTTCCCCCCCAACAATAAATTCATAACTGAGTCTACGCCCTAACGCCTTATACACCCAAATGCCGACCTTAGCCAGGATATGACGCGCCGTTGACATGTTTGCTAATGTGTAATGATCTGTGAAGTTCCCGATGACGCATAGAACGTGCTCGAGGGGACATGAGTCTATCGCCGCTGTCCAGCAAATGTAGCACGGAGAGCCAAGATTTGTTGCCTCTCCGCCTCAGGGAGCATGTCAATCTGTGACTGAGGAAGCTCCATAACTGCACGCATCAAGGCATCAGGATCCTGCGCAGCTGGTGCGGGGGCGGCGACAGGAGGAGCAGCATAGGGCTGAGGTGGTGCCTGATAAGGCATGGCAGCAACAGGAGGAGTGTTAGTTGCACCAGAAAAGCCAGGCATGGGCGCAGGAGGGAACGCGGCGGGGGGAGCACCAGGCTCGACAACAGACTGGATGGCTTCGGGAGAAACGAGCCCCATGAGGAGAAGAGCCTGGAACACGGCGTAGGCCAGCTGCGGCGCTTGTTGGAGGAGTTCGGTAGCGCGCTGCGGTTCGCTACTCGCAAGAGTCTTCATCTGCGAGAGAATATCGAGGAGCTGAGGAGGAGGAAGGGTTTCGAGCGTTCGCGAAATGGCGTCGGCGCAAGAGACACCGTGAGGAAGCTCCTTTCCGGCAGGTAAAGGAGGAAGAGTGCTTGGCTGAGCACTGTAGCTGGGAACTGCGCCATTGGAGACGTGTGGGTTGTAATTAGATATGCCTGGGTCCTTGTCGTCATCGCTACTCTTTTGGTCGTTACTAAAATCGACGCGAAGCTTTCGGCCCATGATCTCGAAATCGTTCAGGTTGCGCACAGCGGAAGAGGCAGAGTCTATATTATTGTGTCAGAGAGAACAGGTTTTTGAGGGCTGCTATCATCCGTACCGGTATCTGGATAGTCTGCGAACCCGAATCCTTTAGGTCGTCCAGTCTCGGGATCATACACAAGACGGAATCGCTCGACTTTGCCTGCGCTGCTGAAAATGTCGGTGATTTGCTCTTCGGTCAAGCCTGGAAGAAAAGTCAGATGCGATGCGATGCGACTACCAATTATGGCAACTGTGGTCTCACCATAGGGAATATTGCCGACAAAGACGACGCGAGAGGGTGGTCTTGTCGACATGTTGAAGTTTCAGTGATGCGAGTGTATTTGGAAGAAGGGGGGGGGGGATATAAGAGTCAAAGAACCAGAAATTCTGGCCAAGGTCAAGTCTTATATGTCACAAGGCGAAGACAAGAAGAGATGGCCCAAGATGTAATGCAATGTCAAAGTCTGGAAGAAGTTATTGAATTTCTCAGCCTTGCCAATGAACAATGGTTAGGCTGATGGGCAACGAGCTTCGGTGGAGACGATCTGTTGGCCATTCAAAACACAGAGTCAGCTGGGTCTCTGTCCCAAACTTACAGGCCCCATAAGCCCCGAGTCAAACCCGCCCTGGCTTAGTGCGCAAATAGAGAATACTAGACCCTGCAAAGCGCCCCCCGAGCTACGTTTTAGAAGAGGACGTCAGCCGCAGTTGGAAAAAGGTGGCCTTTTTGGATTTGGGGAAACGACTGGACAACTTGTACTGTAATTCTGTTCTCGCATTTGCTTGGTGTTTCTTTTTCTTTGAATTGTCCGGGTTCTCGAGTGCCAGGTGCAGATCCGCAATCAATAGAGAGAAACTCCAATCAATGCTGCCTCTCCTTATTGATAGCTGATTCTTTTGTTACATTCCCGTTGCTCTATTTCGCCGTCAACCCTCTCCTTTTTGATTGGCGCCTCACCCACGGATACCCTCGACTTACAACTGCACTGAATTTCTTTGTCGCAAGTAGATCATCATGCCTCCGAAATCGAGATTCACAAGGCTCGATGCCTTTACCAAGACGGTCGATGAGGCAAGAATTCGAACGACAAGTGGTGGTATCGTCACTATCGTGTCGCTACTAGTGGTCTTGTTCCTGTCATGGGGTGAATGGGCAGAATATCGACGCATTGACATACACCCGGAACTGATTGTGGACAAGGGAAGAGGTAGGAAAGCCTTTGCTATTGCTGGGAATAATGCGCAACTTCTGGTCGAATACTGACATGCTGTGTCTTACAGGAGAGCGCATGGAGATTCACTTAAATATCACATTCCCCAAGATGCCCTGCGAGCTCTTGACTCTGGACGTTATGGATGTATCTGGCGAACAGCAACACGGAGTCATGCACGGAGTGAACAAGGTCCGCCTCCAGCCTGCTAATCAAGGCGGTGCCGTTATCGATTCCAAGTCTCTTGCGCTCCACGACGAGTCCGCTGACCATCTCGATCCCTCATACTGTGGTGGCTGTTACGGTGCCCAGCCTCCTGCCAATGGTCGAAAGCCCGGGTGCTGTCAGACTTGCGACGAAGTTCGTGAGGCCTATGCACAGTCCTCATGGGCCTTTGGTCGTGGCGAGGGCGTTGAGCAGTGCGAGAGAGAACACTATGGCGAGAAGTTGGATGCGCAGCGCGAGGAGGGGTGCCGTATCGAGGGTGGTCTGCGTGTGAACAAGGTCATTGGTAACTTCCACTTTGCTCCCGGCCGAAGCTTTAGCAGTGGCAACATGCACGTCCATGACTTGAAGAACTACTGGGATGTCCCCAAGGGCAAATCGCACGACTTCACTCACTATATTCACTCTCTCCGCTTTGGACCTCAACTGCCCGACAACATTGCCAAGAAGGTTGGCACCAAGAGTTCGCTTTGGACCAACCACCACCAGAACCCTCTCGACAACACGCGCCAGGAGATTCACGACCCCAACTTCAACTTTATGTACTTTGTCAAGATTGTGCCTACCTCCTACCTTCCTCTTGGCTGGGATAGCAAGGGTATTAAGATTGCTGGTCTTTTGCAGGATGACAACGCTGGCCTCGGAGCCTATGGTTACTCTGAAGACGGCAGCGTTGAGACTCACCAGTACTCTGTGACTAGTCATAAGAGAAGTCTGGCGGGTGGTAACGATGCCGCTGAGGGTCACGCAGAGCGCCAGCACACCAGTGGTGGTATTCCTGGCGTTTTCTTTTCCTACGTAAGTACATATATACTGACTTTCCATATACATTTTCTGAAGCTAACATCCAACTAGGATATCTCGCCCATGAAGGTCGTTAACCGTGAGGAGAAGGCCAAGACTTTCAGTGGTTTCCTGGCCGGACTTTGCGCCATCGTTGGTGGAACCCTGACTGTTGCTGCTGCTGTGGATCGAGGACTGTTTGAGGGTGCGGCCCGTATCAAGAAGATGCGGACCAAGGACCAGTGAACGGAAAATTAGCCCGTTTATGTCTACAATGCGAGAGGGGCTTGGTTTGACGGATGGGCTTTGACGAAGGTGTCCATTGGTGGGAGCAGTTGTATGTAGATATTGCAAAAGTCCACTGCTATATGCGTTGGCGGGTAGGCGTTCTGGGATAGTTGTGATTTGAGCAGCACTGTAAAGAACATGAGACTGCGAATTGAATATACTTGAGATTCATGCACGAAAAGTCGATTGTTGTCATTTGAAGAATGTTTTGACGTGTGTTGAACCTAAGGATGTCTCATGAGGCGGCTAAAAAGGAAACTCGCTTCTATCCCTAGTTTCAACGGCCACTACAAGGGAGGATTGATTGAGATCTGCAAACTCACAAGCATGGAACATGGGGGAGTGTGGAAATATCTTGAGCTTGTCTTTGACTTTACTACCGGGGGATCGTGGAAACCGTACCCATGGAGTCGATCTTTGCTGAGTTTGTACCTGACAAGAATGATGAGCACGGAGATTAGTGACAAGATAGAGATGACTGTGCGTAAGCATATGAAGCGAATGGTTTTCGCTAATGGTTTGCTGCTTTATCTAACGCAAAGACTCAGCCAGGGATCCATGATGTCGCTGTAGCGAGAAGCGGCAGTCAGAGAGGCGAATGATGATCCTGAAGGGAGTGTCTGGTTTGGTGTTCGATGCAAAGAAGCAGAATTATAGCAAATGAGATACGAGATGCTCTGGCCACTTACATGTGGACGTTATACGATGATATAACGCTCAAAACGCCAGCTTGACTAGTTCAAAGGGCTGCAGAGAGTATCAATGCATTGATTGGTTCTCTAGTTTAGCACAGGTGATCATCTCGAAAACTCAATCTCAAATGAAGTCAACTTCGTATGGCTTGGGCCTGTTTATAACGACATATCGTCTCACAATTGAGCCTCTCGAGGTTAGTCTCGAGGTTAGTACAGTTATGAAACCCGATACCACTATACATAAATACTGATGCGAGCAGTCATGACAGTGGTGAAACGGTAGCCACATGCAGCAACGAGAATCGAGGTGTGATACGATTCCACTGTTAGCTTCCTGCGTCACTGCAAATGCCCTTGCATGGATGTTCTCTGCAGAAAGGTTCGTGATGCGCAGATGACTCGATTGTGACATCTCGATCCAGCCAGAGCCCGCCGGGTGGAGTTTAAATTATTATGTATTTGCGTACGCCTCATCTCAATACGCGTCTGATGCTAGTTTACTGATATTGATTGAGATTGAGGCTTGATTCATGTAAGATAAAGACTGGAAGAACACGCGTGCAATTTGCCTTGATACCAGTCCAGTCCTGGTTTGCCGAGTTGCTTCATTAGCGCCACACATGGGTTGCTAAAAAAAAAAAACACCCGTGGCGGAGAAATAAATACTCGTGCCCAGGTACGAAAAAGTGGAGGCTTATTAACGAGTCATCAGAGTCGTCGACTCTCGTCTCTAGAATCTGGATCCATTTTGGATGGACAACAATCGTCGTCTAGACCATTTCAAATGGGTCATAGGGAGGAAATAGAGCATTCGGTAAAGAAATCCTGGTTTATTTAGTTTATGGGATCGCAATGCAAAGGGGGCAATGAAGAGGCGCGGTCGACCCAGCATTACACTAAAAGGTCTTTGATGTGTTTCTACTGGGAGTCTGTGAGGCTGAGGATGACTTGGGATGACATCGCCAGTGCCTAGCGTATTGGAGGATGTGTCAATGGGGTTGTTGGCTTGATATTGTCGTCGTTGATGGAGAGCGAGGGGATCATAATCCGTAACATCTGTATGGACAGGACGTAAGATTACGATGAAATATGAAGCTTGTTCAACTAGAGCACGCCTCATGCACAAATGAACAAGTACCCCAGACCTAGCGTTGTGGCTGCAACAGAATTGGTCCCTGGTTGGCACCAGAACCCGGAAGCGGCTTGAAGCTGGTGGGGTCTTAGAAGCCAGCCCCTGGCTGGTGTCTCATTGTTGCATTGCTTCTAGCAATGGCTTTTTGTCTTGTTGTTTTGAGACCTTGAGAGGTGAAGATAAAGCAATAAATAAGGTAATCGGCAACGGACTTTGTTAGACGCTAGGGACATTGCGTTTATCTAACCAGACACATGCTCTATCAAAGACACAGTCTGGCAGTATACTATACATTCTCTACTTGTGCAACTATATTATCATCATTGCTGTTGTGTTACCACGGTTGCTGGTCGTTTCCTCGAAAGCAGCGAGATTAAAGATGCATGTGGACAACCTTAGTATGAGACTTAATGGCTGCCTTTCCGAGTACAGCAAGGCAGCATCTGTCTAATTTACCGGACTCTTCAACGCAAACAAGGACCATCCCTTGTTGGTGTATTTTACCTACCTTGAAGAGGTCGTGTCTCCGTCTTGGGTGGGTTCGTTCCCGTCAAGACGAAGATGAAGCATTATTCAATTCGAGATAGGCTTGCCTACTAGTTGTGGACACAGAGTCAATAGTGAACGCCCCTTTTGGTCATGAGGTGGCCCGTCTCGGGACAGTTTAGTTTCGGAGGAATTGAGCTGTGTACGTTAATAAAGCGGGGAGAATATCAGATCAGTGTCATGGTGCCATCAAGAGTGCTCGTATTTGAAACTTTAGACAATTGATACGATATTGCGGCTGAGGAGACAACTGTCTCGAGCAGAGGCCAGACAGGCTAAGGCTTCCTTATCAAGTGGCGAGAGGGAGGGGCTTTGCTCTGGGCTTTACGAGCGAGATATACAGTAGATTCATCCCGTGAGATCAGATTGGATCGTGTTGAAGAAGCATGGGTGTGGTGTGGTATCTGCAGGTAGTTTAAGGGGTCATCTACCTATGTGGATGAGCCTTGCACAAGGCTTCACATTGTGCAACTCAATGCCCTCATATCTTCACAAACCAGACCTCATAGTCTCACAACGCCCAACATCTGGCTGCAGTGCTTTGTTCCTAATTCAGTAATTATGTCTTTTGGAGTGTCGCACAGCCCAACGCCTCTTGCTTCCCTTGGACCTTGGACCTCTGACTCTCTCCACCTTCTTCTGGATGGATCCATCAAAAAAGGGACGGGTTTCCATCCTTGATCCATCCAGGCATTCTATCTCTCCACCCTTTCTTCCATCAATCCTGACTGCCTATGCACTACAACCAATGCCTAACAAAGCTGCACAGGGAACGTAAATTAGTGCCTTGTCTTGGTGCTTGGGGGCCAGGCTATGGATGGTCATGTACCGTTCCTCTACTTCCATGAGGGGCAGCTAATGGATGCCTTTCCGGTATCGTACTTTAATTAGGACATTAGCTCGGGTAGATTAGTAGCTCTCAGGCCCCTTCACCTTAAACCTCCACTACCTCCCACCCAACTTTACACCACCGTGGTACTGTACATACCTCTCGTCCAAGACAACTTAGCCCTGTGACGCCGCCATTGTTCGCTACTACATACATACGTATTGTTTGAATTGTTATTCACGTATACGCACTCGCCGCTCTTTTTTCCAAGTCTTGTTTTGTTTTCATTCAGACTCTGTTTGTGGCTTTGCTCTTTCGATTTTCAAGCCTACATAGATCAACGTCATTCAGCGTCGTCCGTCACCCCACGGGAATCATCAACAACGCCAATTGAAGCCGAATAGCACAGTACCCTGAATATACGCCACGGCACCGCGTCGCATTATCGCCGACCTCATATCGCGTCTCTTTCCAACCGACGACTTCCATCTGGTCTTCTGGCTCTTTGCTCGTTTCAACTTTGTTCCAGCAACCATCTCCGTATCACAATTCGCATAGCGCGGCCCGCGCAAGATCACTCTCCGACGCCGATCCCTCCTTGGCTACTACCTCTCGCCCTCGACTCGCCGTCATTCTTGACGTCTGTTAACCATCACACATTATTTGCTTTCTTCCGCCGAGATCGACAGCAGGCCTCTTTTTGCACTGTAATTTATGTTCCCACCCAAGATACTGGCTTAGACAATCGCTTCTTCGATTCATAGAGATTCGCGACAACTTGTTCACTTTTACATACACTCAGCGCAGCAATCCTTGGACCTCCCCTGGCTGTGCAAATTTCGAGTGCACTGGAACTATACCGAAACGACTGCCGTCTTGTTTTCGCATCTGCAGTGCATCTTGGCTTCTCAAGTTCCTGGCCTGCATGGAAACACGCCTCCATAGCTAAACTTTTACTCTAAAGCGACCATCATGTCGTCACGTCCGTCTCTACTGGATTTGCGATCGGATTCTTCGAACTCCAACCTTTCTACAGTCTCTAAACCCTTGCGCTCACCTCGCCTCCATGTTGCTGGCGAAGTTCCTCCTGAGCTGTCCCCCTTGGACGCTTTCGCTATGCAGAGTCGCCTACTCGCAAGGCAATTACAAGAAAGCGCCAAAGAGGGCAACCGAATGAGTCGCCTTCCTCCTCTAACTGTCGAGAGTCCATTAATTGTTCAGGGACGCTCTGAGTACTTTCGTTCGTTGTCACAAGATTCAGGCTCCGAAGCCGGTGACCACCCTCCTCTGCGCCCTAGTTCTGGTCTTGCGGTAAGGACAGAGGTGGAGGATGCCTTTAGCGATGACGCTGAGCGCCCTGTATCTATGCATCCACGAATGAGCCGAATACCGCCAACTCCCGATGAAGAGGTACCCGCAGTACCTCCCCGAGCTCCGTCTAGAGGACGGGTGTTGGATCACATCGATGAGACAGGCTCATTTTTCGGCGCCAGGAGGGAACGATCGCCCTCGCCGTTACATAGTGATACGCAGTCCCAGTTTGACAAGCGAATTGAATCATCTCCGTCTCGGAAAGAGGATGCTGCCTCATTACTTTCTGCCCGACGACCAAGCGGCTCGATTAGCGAATCAGTCACTGGTTCACCAGAAAAACCCAAGCATTCATTTGATGAACTTGGACTGGCACCACCTCTGACCTCATTTCATCAAAGACGACGTACACCCAGCAATGTCTCATCTCCCGCACTGCCTACCGACGAGGATTGCTCTAGTGGCATGGCGGCTTCGTTTCACTCACTGCCTCCACGGAAGCTATCTTCTGCAAGTGCAATGACCTCCCCTGCCGTGGGCTCTTACCGACGATCGCCATCCATTGGCTCCGAATCCTCTGCGCTTCCTCGACCGTCATTCAACTTTTCAAGACCTATGAGCAGGTCTGGCACACCTGGTATGGAGCCACCCTTGAGACAAGCTTCCTCTGATAGCCAGCCTTCGTTCATTTTGGCTGATGAGTCGGCTCATACACCAGTGAGCATGCATAGCGAGGCATTCCTTGAGCAACAGGCCGAAGACCGTGATAAGGGTGCACCATCCTACATCTATTCCAAATTCTCACTTCCGAGAGGCAAGGCCATTCAACGTGCAGAACCGGATGAAAACAATCCACAGGCTTCCTTCCATTGGGAACAACCCATGGTGCCCCCAAGCGACGTCCATCGATTTGAGAATGCCCCTCCACCATCACCTCCGACTCGACCTACGAGCTCTTCCGCCAATACCGTTCCAGACGATTCCCTGGCATCAGGCAGCTCAATGCCGAAGGCATCAATCGAGCTGAGAAAGGTTCAATCTGAAACGACACCGCCACCTATGCCCCAGCTATCTCCAACTGCAAGCAGACCATCAGCCGAGGAGCCGCGTGCTTCAGAGGATGTACCTAGAGGTCGAGGTAGAACGCCTGTATCAATAGCCACCAGTGACACAGCAAGCACAATCAAACCACCCCCAACCGCTCGCTCGACAGCACCTACAGCCTCGGAAATGAGTGCAGAGGAACATTTAGCGAAGGGTATCGCATGTCATGAAAGTGGCGATCTGAAAGAATCGACATACCATCTCAGATATGCAGCACGTCTGGGCGACCCGACCGCTATGCTTCTCTATGCGCTTGCCTGCCGTCATGGTTGGGGTATGCGTGCGAATCAGAAAGAGGGTGTGGAATGGCTCAGAAAGGCCGCGGAATGCGCTAGTGTCGAGATCGCGGATGATGAGAGTCATGTAAAGGAGGGCAAGCATGTCGACGTCGTGGAACGAAGAACTCGAAAAGCCCAATTTGCTCTGAGCATTTACGAATTGGGAGTGAGTCACATGAATGGCTGGGGTATTGAGCAGGACAAGTCACTGGCTCTCCGGTGCTTCGAGATCGCCGGTAGTAAGTCTCCCAGATGAACCATTTAATGCCAATTGCTAACCAAGACTTTAGACTGGGGTGATGTCGATGCGCTGGCTGAAGCTGGCTTTTGCTATGCGCAGGGTATTGGATGTAAGAAGAACCTGAAGAAGAGCGCCAAATTCTATCGCATGGCTGAAGCCAAGGGTATGAGCATGGTTGGGAACAGCTGGTAAGTCTCGACATCCAGAGCATAACCTAAAATCCACGCTCGTGCTCACTGACCTTGAACAGGATTCACAAGGCCAAATACGATGACGACGGCGAGTCAAACGCGTCCAAGAAAGATAAAAAGAAGGCCCGCAGCAAATCTCGAACCAGAACCATGTTTGGACTGAAGTGAGCTCACGAGCCGCTTCAGTGACACGCCTACTATGATAATGATGACATCTTCGACATACCCATTTTAATCGGAGTTTTGACTGGTTTTCCATTGCATTCGGGGGATTTCATGGGGTTTAGGAGGAATATTCTTGTGCTCCCTGTAACGACTGCTCAGGGCTGGTCCTGGGCCAGGTTAAGGAACTAGATTCAGTTCCGTGTTCAGCATCAAATTCTAGATGAGGATTTTTAGTGAGCATATACCCCGATGAAAGGGTAATATGAATTATTATGCCTAATTCAGGCACAGCAAGGATACCAGTACTTGAATTGTAGTACGATGGTTGTCTGTTCTATTCAATAGGTCCTTGAAGATTGCATCTCGTATCCAAGGACTAGCAGAAAGCAGAGGCACCCAAGTCAAGCATAAAGCCCTCCTTTTTTTTTTTTTTGTTAAATTAATCGCATTCGAAATATTGTATTGAGCCGTACTGGCATCATCAGTCACAACTCTGCCTGCCACAGATAAAGGCCTGTTTCAGTGACCCAGTGTACAGTGTACCGGGGTTGCGTGTTGTTACATGCCGTGGTCTACCTCATCTAACGTTCCAATAGGATCTCTACTTAGCTGTCAACATCCATCTTCTCCACCACGGGTACGTCTTCCACGCTAATGTACCGCTTGATCTCGTCCCTCTTGATGATCTTCTCGTTCAGCACCGCCGTCGTGCCCTTGGGGAAACGGTAACTCTGAAGCTTGGGTTCCTTCTCGTTAGGCTTGATGTAGTTTCTCTTGAGTGTTGTCTTGTCCTTGGTGATGATAGCCACGTCTACGTTTGAACCCGAGCCCAGATCGTTCCAGACACCAGCAAGAATGGCGTCGCTTGCCAACTTAACGGCTTCCTCCTGGTTAAGATCGGGCTTCCACTGCGTCTCAAAGACACTCATAGCTGCCAAGCTACCACTGCCCATGGTAACATAGGGAAGCTTATCTGTGCTGCCGTGAGCGTGGACAGTGAATAGGTGGGTGCCAGTAGGGTCGACGCCAGCAACGACTAGGTAGGCACCGATGTGGCCCTGGTAGCGGAAGAGGTGCTGCTTGAGGAGAGTCATGCAGGTGACGACGCGGGGCTTGCGACCTGTGGATAGGGAGTGCAGCTCGAGTTGAGAAGAGATGAGGGCGGTGGTGAACTCTGTGTCAGCGGCGGTACCGGCGCCAGCGCACCAAATTTGGGGGGAGATGTAGTGAAGCTTCTCGCAATTCTTGTCGGCGACAATGGGACCGGATGTGGCTCGAGTATCGGCAGCAATCTATGGCAAGGGTGTCAATACTGAGCTCTTGGTGGGATAGCGGTAGCTCCATTCAATGTCCCGAGACCGGCGATCGAGACAGAAAGGTATCACTTACCACAACACCACCATCAAATATGCATCCAACAATAGTCGTTCCAGTGCTGGTAGCCTTGGGAAGAGGCACTCCTCGGGCGTGGAGAGCCGCATTGCGGTTGTAGTTTGAGAAGTCGAAGCCAGGCATTTTGAAGGACCTATGATTCCCAGATTGAAAATATCAAGATGGCTGATTTGCCCGAGTGCCTGTTGGATGGTGCGGTGTCGTGAGAAATGGTAAAGTCGCCCGGGGTGTCTTTTGCGATGGGGATGTTGCTGGTCGTTGCAATTGCGAGGCGAGTTGAGGTTAACAAGGCAGAGCTGATGACGAGGCTAAAAGCTGCCTCCAGCAGTTGAGCTTCACTGAGCACCTACAGCAGCATACAGCGGCGCGCTCTGATTGGTTGAACCTAACAGGCACGACAGGCAGTCCACGCTGGAGCAGTAACCAGTGGCTCAAACAAGTTAACACGTGAGAAGGAGTTTGGCAAGTGAACTATCAAAGTCAATGAGTTAGTCGGGCAGTTTCGACCTTAATACAAAGCTTTGTATCTCATCCAAACTCAGAGCATCCCCAACCATTAGAGGTATCATCACCAACTGAATTTCTAACTTCTACGATCGATAGTCTCTGGGCGCATCAATCGGCCAATCACGATCTGTTCAAGCACGTCCCCCAGCCTACCACTGCCTGGGCCAAAGCTCCCCCCGGTCGCCCCAGCCCACTCCTATGCTGAAGGCAAATTTATGAACTTCAGGTCCTCTCTCCAAGGCCGGCTACTCTGCTACAGTCATGGCTTTTAGCTTTGGCAATTCAGGAAACGCCATGCTCGGGAGTACGGCAGGAGCAGGAGGACTGACTACAGGCCCTGATCTGGAAACAATTCAGACAGAGGTGAGTGCACTATTCTTCGACCTTGATACTTTCGTTTCGTACTGTCTTGTTTGTTTTGTTGACTTGAGCGTGATGCTAACCACTGCCAATCTGTACAGGACCTCGGTTTTCTCTCTATCGCTGGCGACGCCAAGGTTCGCCTTACGTCCGCGTGGTCATCTCTTCCATCTTCTACCGCGTCGCTTCTCAGCGTCGCTTCGCGCAAAGGTCTTGTCGCTGCTGCTGGACCCGACCAAGTCGTCATCGCCACAACCGAATCGGTGCGAAAAGCTTTCGAAAAACCTAAAGATGGCGACTCAGATATTCGCGGGTTCGAGCCTCAGCTCAAGATCCCCATGCCGATGCGAGTTTCGCAACTATCATTTACTGCAGATGAAAACTATCTGATCCTTTCAGCAGAATCTGGCGGCGGCTTGGCTGTCTATGAAGTTCAGAGTCTGTTATCGGGATCAACAAACTCGGCTTTCGAGCTATCGACGAACGGTGAAACGCTAAGAGCCATGATCCCGAATCCTACACCAGAGAAGGCAGAGCTTTGCGCTATCGTAATGAACAACGGTAACTTGCACATGGCAAACCTGAAAGAACGACAAATTAGCAGCGTTCTCAAAAACCAAGTTAGCTGTGTTAGCTGGAGCTCCAAGGGCAAGCAGCTATGCGCTGGTCTGGGTGATGGCACAATTTTTCAGATGACTCCAGAAGGCGAAGGGAAAGGAGAGATCCCTAAGCCGCCCAACATGGGTGACTTTCATGGTACGTAACTGGAGGTTCTCGGTTTGATTTTGAGTTTAGCTAACAGCATCTCAGTATCATCTCTTACCTGGCTCGAGAATCACCTGTTCTTGTCCATCCATACTTCAAATAATGAATCACCACCGACCTCTATCTACCATATCATTACGCGCCAACCACCATCATCCTTCAGCTTTCAGAAGCTTACCGACCCTGTCGAGCCTTTTGGATCAGACAAGACACCACATCACTCGATTCTGCGACTCCGAGACTTTCCACCAGCTCTCCAAGATATGCTCATTGTCGCATCTACCGCAGCCTCGGAAATGGGTGTCTTAAGCCGTTCCAAGACACCTTTGGCTACAGACAAGCCTGCAGATGCTATCACTGGGGTATTCACGACGACAGAGTTCTTGGACGATACCAAGAGACCAACATTACCAATGACTGACTCCATGGATGATTCCACTCCGATCGGTGTAGCTCTCGATCTTTCCGGCAAGGACAAGGTATACAAGCCTATTCCATCGGACGTTGAACTAGAAGAATCGCCAAGTCCACTACCTGGGTTTTGGGCACTCACACATGAGGGTGTTCTATGCGCTTGGTGGGTAGTCTATAACGACTCTATCAGACAGGGTACCTCTTATCCTCACTTGGCTGCGGTTGAGGCCACTTCAGCGCCAGCACCAGCTCCAACAACCCAAGCCGCTCCTGCAGCTTCGGCATCACCTTTCTCCAATCCTACCCCATCCGCGTTTGGCTCAGCTTCGCAGCTTGGACAAAAGTCATCTCCATGGGGTGGTGCCAACACCGGTTCTGCTGCCCCTAGCACAGGGGGCGCCGTGTTTGGTTCAAGTGGCTTCAGCAATACTGCAGCCACCTCTGCTCCGGCATTCGGCAAGCCCAGCTCTATCGGCTTTGGGCAATCGTCCCAGCTTGGTGCGAAGAGCTCTCCTTGGGCATCAGCATCAGGTGGAGCTGCTGCTGCAACTCCTGCTTTTGGTCAGTCAGGATTTTCGAGTTTCGCAAACAACAGCAATACAAGTCCCTTCGGCAAGGCGGCGTCCAGTTCTACATCGGGTGCTCCTGCATCAGGGGGCTTTGCTGGCTTTGCCAGTAAGAGTGGCTTTGCTTCTGTGAATAACAATAATAGTGGTAGCGTATTTGGCAGCGGTAGTCAACCCGCTGGTAGTCCTTTCGGATCCACCTCAAATACCGAGACAGCTTTCCCGGCCAAATCTGAACAATCTTCTGGCAGTCCTTTCGGATCTACCCCTTTCAAGCTCCAAAGTTCCTTCAAGCCTGATGGATCTGCCAAGGATGACGCAGCTAAACCCAGCGGTTCTCTGTTCGGTAGCAACTTTGGATCAGCCCTCACCGATGCGACTAACAAACCCGAAATTACGACGCCAACACCCAGGGATGAGGAAATGGACACCGCTGGAGCAACGGAGGAGACACCCCAAGCAAAAACCAAGGACTCACTATTCCCTGTACAACAAAGCCCTGAGTCTACAACACCAACTACAACTCCTGCGCCATCTAAGTTTGGTTTTGCAACATCGCCTGCCCCCCAGACATCAACCTTTGGACAACCATCGAAGTTTGGCTCTACTGGTAGTGGGCTTTTTGGAAACAAGTCGGAGACACCGAAACCCAGCGGCGGTCTTTTTGGATCTGCCTCGAGTACCCCTAAGCCAAGCGGGGGGCTGTTCAGTTCAACCTCTGCGACACCCAAGGCTGGTGGAACCCTTTTCGGATCGCAGCAGAACACGCCAAAGGCCAGTATCTTCGGAGGACAACAGAAGCCAAGCGGTTACACAGGAATCTTTGGACAGAAGTCGGAGCCATCTAAGGCTAAGAGCCCTGAGGCCGAGAACCCTAAAATCAAGGTCGAAGAAGATGACGCCCCGCTGCCTCCGGATACGGTCAGCAAGACCAGCCTCGCTGTTGGTGAATCATCTTCCTCATCAGCGGCATCCAAGACTGAAGCCGCTCCTCTGCCGCCAGACTTCATTCCCAAACCTAAATCTTCCTCGTCTGCTGTCAAGGCAGCTGAGGCCTCTGATACTCCATTACCGCCAGACTTTGTTAACGTACCCAAACCTACAGACAAGGAGACGGCTGTCTATGATGCCCCTTTGCCACCTGAACCAACCATTCCTACAAAACCAAGATCTGTTTTTGACAAACCAGATGGTACTCCGAAGGCACCCTCGAGCCTTTTCCCCGCCGTCGCCGGACCGCCTTCAGATGATAGTGATGATCTGGATGACGAAGACGAGGACGACGAGGAAGACGATGAGGGAGGGGAAGGAGAGGAAGAGGATGATGGGTCTGAGGGCAGTGGCGTCGACGTTGCCAAGGATCTGAGCCCTACAGTCAGCAACCTCACTCCAGGGTATACTCCTCAAAGCTCATTTGGTGGACCCGGCGGGCGTGCTCTCGGAAGCCCCCAAACAAACCAAGAAGGCTCACGACCTTTGTTTGGAGAACTTAGTCGCAATGCCCCGGTATTCCCACGACCTAACGCAACCAGCCCCCGCTCCCCAAGCCCGGTTCGAGGTGCAGTGCCGAACAGGGTCCTCAGGTCAGAGAACATGAGATCTGTGAGTGCCCCAGGAATCGCTTCGCACCTCCTCGGACATAGGCAGTCTCAGATGGGTGCTTCGATAACCAGCAGAGACGCTGGCTCGTCAGAAGACCCATTTGTGGCCCAGCATCGTAAATTCAAGGCCAAGCAGGAGGCTGCTGAAACCCAGCCATTGGTTGATGAAGATGATGACGAGGTTCAGAAGCTTCTGGCATCAGAAGTGGAAGGAAGCCTGACCCTGGATGAGTTCATTGCCCATTCAAACGTCGCTCCGCCTGCTAAGGAAAGCATCCCAAGCCAAGTTGAAGCAGTCTACCGTGATATCAACTCCATGATTGATACACTTGGTCTCAATGCGCGAACTGTCAAGTCATTCATCAAGGGCCACACAGAGAATTGCAAGCAAGGCGGACGTAGTAAAGAGGATCTTGACGACCCCGAAGATTGGGTTCTTTGCGAGATTGATGAGTTGGGGAACATCTTGGACAATGATTTGTACAATGATCTTGAGGACGGGCGGGTTCGTGACTTGGACGCTAAACTCGATGCCTGTCACGAACTCACCAGAGATATGCACCGCCTTCGAGCTAAGCAGGAGGACTTGAAACAAATCCTCATGATCAGAACCGACCCTGACCAGGCCGAAGTAACACGATCTATGCCTCTGAGTGCAGAGCAAGCAACACAACAGAACGAACTGCGACGCGAGTTCGCCAAGTTCTCGAAGCTCTTGGCTGATGCAGAAGAAGCGTTAACGCTGCTCAAGACAAAAATTGCGTCCGCCTCTGGCGCTTCAGGCAAGGGCAAGGCAACCATTCCTACGGTTGAGGCGGTCATACGTACCATTGGAAAGATGACGGCGATGGTTGAGAAGCGCAGCGGAGATATTGACGTTCTCGAAAACCAGCTGCGCAAGGTCAACCTCAACTCCACAAGCCGAGAAGGGTCTCCTATGGCGACACCACAGGGAAGGAGGAGCATCATGTTCTCCCCCGAAGGAACTCCCGTTAGAAATCTGCGCCATAGTTTTGCGGGCAGCATGTCTCTGGGTGCATCTGTGCGAGCTACTCCCCCACGCAAGAAACTTAGTGGCTTCAGTCGAGAGGAGAAGGGCGATTTAATGGAAAAGAGAACGCGTCGGCAAGCCGTACTGGGCAAGCTGAAGAGCAGCGTCGAGAAGAGAGGTGTCAGTGTTTGGAATATGGAGGATATCGAGTAATCAAGGACAACGACGGGATGGATATTATCACGGCGAAACAAGACAGAACATGGGGGTGAATAGGGCATGAAGCAACCAAGCAACTGTATCTTAGATTTTAAATAGTGTATCAATTGGTCATACCAGCTACCCGGATAGCTAATGTATTTTTTCTCCGCGATAGATATTCCCTTTTTGATATGACAGTACCCTATATCTAGTTTCATTGTGAGAAGGATTCGGAATTGCAACTCAATTAACCCATTTTATCCTCCCTATTACGACCAATCGATTTCCCAAACAAAACACCATTTTACTCCTCGGGTATCCTCAAACGTTGAATTTCATGAAGACATATGCTTGCTAGCATTGAGCTGGTGGTCAACTCTCTCAGGCTGCGGGAGCCGGAGGAGCGGCAGATCGTGGGATGGCAGACTTGGGATCTGTGGCTGGAGTCTTGTTGGAGATATCGCGAGGAATGTTGGATGGGTTAGAGTGAACCCGGCAATGTTCCTTGTTCTTGTGCTCGGGGTGAGGTCGAGGAGTGTAGCTGAGAGGCCGTTGTTAGCTGAGGGAAGCGTTGATCGGGGATTGGATCGACGTACTTGACGAAGGAGAGCATCTTGAAAGGTTGTTGAGATGTTGTCGTGTGTAAGTGGTAGATGTTGTTGATAGTGCTTTAGTGTATTTCTTAAAAGCTAATTGCTTGCTTTGTGATGATGGTACTAATGATGGATTGGAGAAAAGATGGGAAGCTAACGAGTATTATATAGCCGATATCCTCTCTGATCAAACCAACTTACATACATTGCATTACAAACGATTGCTTGGCCGGACCGGTTGTGCTCTGGTGACTGACTGGTAGGACCTCTGAATTGCACGTGTGACCGGCATCAACTTTGAGAATAGAGCAGGGATTCGCCAAGGACTTTGAGTTTAACTGGAGGACATGGGCGCAATACTGACGTCGTACGGATTGCCCGGACAGGGAAGTGATGGGATCTCTCAGTGGGGGAAGAGCGTGCGCGTGACCCCTGGAACGAGGAGGACGAAGTGCGTTGCAGCTAATTCCCTAGGGGATCTTACTATAGGATGGGATGGGAATGTGAATCTGGCGATGGGCGACGACTGATTGGGTGTGCTGATATGGCGAGAGGCCGGCCCGGTGAATATGTCTGCTCTATGAACGCTTCCCGACTACGGAGTAGCAGGGGCACAATCTCGGCATCCTAGATGAGAGGCAAAAAGGACTTGTCGAGAGATTCGTCGTGTAAGCGAGCTTTCAAGGGCCTATATCTGGTTGATGTGGCGCAAGTGATCCGAAGTCGCTCAATATCAGACCAACATTCAAGTTTTATGAGATAAGGCTCATAATTATTTACATGCTCTCAATAACAATTGCAATATCCTCCCTCATGAAAGAATCCAACGCATGCTGTCCTCGTGCAAAGCCACCTCGACTGACATTGTCACTTTTATCAGACCATGTTCTCATCTCAGGTACGTACCTGCAGCTTTACAGCCCAAGCTCCGGTTCATCGTGAGTGGGGCCCGTGGTCTGAAGCCGACACCCACCGAAGCATGGGTCGGGCACGGTCGGCGGTCTCGGAGACGAGTGGGGCAATTTGCGCCGGACAGCGTTCTCCAACCGGGGCCCACTAATTTCTCACCTTGGCTTATCCACTTTCTTCACCTTCCACTCACCGAACCTTCACCTCGGAGGGGCGTCAAAAAATTATTGTTTGCTTCGCTCATCACCGACGTACGTTGATACAATCACCACGCCTACTCACCAGTCTGCAAATACATAATACTTATCACCACAATGGCACCCACACAGCAGGCTGCGTGGAGGAAAGCTCCCACTGCAGAGGAAATTGCCAATCGCCAGGTAAACGTCAATTGAGCAATGTTGAATGAACTATAACCTAACTTTAGCGCCCAGACTGTTGGCATCAACAAGGAAACCGTCACAAACATCACCTCCACCGATTACCCAGGCCATCACCCCGGTGAGGACCTCGCATTTACGCTCGATCGTTTCCGCGATGCCTTTTCCGTAAATTTCCACCAGAACGATCAGTTCCTCGCCTCTTTCTCTCTCGTCGGAATCGACGCTTCGCTCGCAAACGCTTTTCGACGTATCCTACTCTCCGAGATCCCCACCCTCGCTATCGAGAACGTCTACATCGAGAACAACACTTCTGTCATTCAAGATGAGGTGCTCGCGCATCGTCTTGGACTCATTCCTTTCAAGGGTGGTCGTGAGGGCCTGCACAACTTCCTTAAGTGGCACAAGAAGCCAGAGGCTGGCGAGGACCCTTATGCCGGCTGCTTCGACTGGAACACGGTCCGCCTCGAGCTGAACGTTACATGCACCGTCAACGAGGATGCTTCGCCCGGTGAGAATGATCCTCTCAAAGCCTACCATAACGCCCACGTTTATGCGCGCGACATCGTCTTCGTTCCCACTGGCAAGCAGGTCGAGTACTTCAGCGGCGAGGACGCCATTGCGCCCACGAACCCAGACATCTTGATCGCCAAGCTGCGACCCCGACAGACCATTAACCTCGCCATGCATATGCACAAGGGCATTGGATCCGACCACGCCAAGTTCTCTCCTGTCGCGACAGCCTCCTACCGTCTCCTACCTACCATCACTATTATTAAACCTATCTTGGGCGCTGATGCCGAAAAGTTCGCCAAGTGCTTCCCCAAGGGTGTTATTGGCCTCGAAAAGGTCACGGCCGAGGAAGCTGCTCAAGCTGGTAGCGGTTATGAGGGCCAGGAGGGCGAGACCAAGGCCGTGGTTGTTGATGCTATGAAGGATACTGTCAGCCGAGAGGCTCTACGACACAAGGAATTCGAGGGTAAGGTGAAGCTTGGCCGAAGGCGAGATCATTTCATCTTCTCTATCGAGAGCACAGGGCAGTGGGACAGCGATGAGCTTTTCCTCGAGTCAGTTAAGCACCTCAAGCTCAAGTGCAAGAAGCTTGAGCAGCAAGTTATCAACATGGCGAGGTAGCCTACTACAACACAAGGAGATTTTGGGCTTGTTCGGCGCAGTATCATAATTTTTGGGTTGATTTGTTTTCTGCGGTCTCTACGGTTAGATAAAAAGGAATGATACCATGACCACATCATAATATTCGTCACCCGTCTCTTCTCTACCACGTAAAAAGGATGCTCCTCTAGTATTTTAAGTCGTCCTCACCATATACCTCTCATTTACTAATCCAACGCCTAAAGATGCCCAAAAGCCCGAACGCCCTTTACTGACCACTTGATTAAGGATCAGGAACTTGTCTTGAACTTGAAGTAAAAGTTGAACTCGAGGGGGAATGCCGGATCAGTGACAACGACCTGTTGTCCGTCTTCGAGTCCAAGCTCGCTGAGGGTCTTGCTCAGGTTCGGACGTGTCTGCTCCTCCAGCCCTGGGGGAAATTGCATGTATAGAGTCTTTCCCTCGGCACGAATCGATGGCTTCTTCAGTTGAGCTTCAGGACGAATCGCGAACGAGTCGATTAACTCCTGCAGTGTGGACTTGGGATTGACTTCAAGGGGGCGGGCCTGGCGTCCACAAACAGGGCAGTCGTCCTTCTTCTCATGTTTGAAGGTGTATGTATAGATGCTATCGTTGCCAGAGTACATCATATAGTTTGTGTCGAATCCAAGACAAGGGGCGGAGGTTGTAGCAATTTTGAAAGCTTCGTTGCAGCATGCAGCGGCGATGATAGCATTGGTAGATGCAATCGCCGGAATGATGTTCTTGATGGTTCCTTGCGTTAACGAATAAGTGACACCAGGGATGCCAAACTCTTCCGCACGAGTCAGTGCCTTCTGGAACAGCCAGGTAACATGCTCTGGATCATCCTTATCGAGCTTTGGGAATGGCTTTTCCTGCTCCCAGGCAATAACGTGGGCCCATTCGATACAGTGTTCGGGCTGTCGCGGGATAGAGGCGATAGTACACAGAGGAACAGCGGCGCGCGGGGCGTGCATATCCAGCTGGCACTCAATACAGGATGTCATGGATGGGAGGATGACTCGCGCCTGTCCCTTGAAGCCTTCAGTGCCACCATCAATGAGGGGCTTTATCGCATCAGGGTCTTCAGCTTCCTCGGCGATAGAAACGAGCATGGCGTTGATCCAACGGCGGGCCTCGATGCTGTCTAGTCCGCAAATCACAAGCTGGAACTGCTTGTAAAACTCCTCGTCGAAGTCCTGGATACGGTTGTTGTGGGCCGTGATGGAGACGCCTTTGATTCTCTTTTGGACGAATTTGGCAGCAACCTCTGCTTTGTATTTGCCTACATCATCTTTTCGGAATAAGAACTGGCGGTTGAGGTTGGAAATATCGATGGTGTCTGGAGCAAGATGAGCCAGCGATCTGTAATAGAAAAGACCATTCACAAACCCATGTCTATTACGTGGATGTTCCTGAATCTCGACATGGCGAGATTCTTGAGAATTTCACACCCTAGGCCTCCCGCGCCGCTGTATCATGGCAGTTAGTGAGCTGTACATCGAGCCTTTGAAGGAAGATGACTGACATGACACTATACAAATTAGTATGGCTTTCAAAGGATGTAACTTGTGTACATCAACACTTACAGAACTTTGAACGTTTCAAACTGCGCCAGAAACTCCGGTGTGGTAGCATCCAGATCGGTATATGGTCCTGCGTTACGGCGGATTTGGTCGAGGTATTTCCTTTGCTTGCGGTCAGTTGTTTGTGGTTTCACGAGCTCCAACAGCTCCCAGCTAAAAGGTCTCCTACCATCGCGCGTCTTCGTAACCGCCAGCAGTTTCCTGAGCCACACTAGCCATATTGACGTTCTTCAATGAGTTTGTAGAAATAAAAACAAGCCAAATGAATGTATGAACGGGTTCGTAGGGAGATATGTAAGATCAGAGAGTGGTCCGTAGCTTGGTTACTAAGGTAAGGAGCTCTGAAAGGATCCGTGCGTGGGGGGGTCGTCATTGCCTGGAGCTGGCTCGGTGAGGCTCGGTGAAGGTGGGGTCAAGGTGAGTAATGCTTAGAGTAGGTAACCCAAACACCAGGCAATAATGTATATTCCTATCAAGCTTCCAAAGTTCAACCAGCATGACATTTCCCGGACAACTAACCAGATTAAACTTCACCGATCAGAATGGACGACCTTCTCACGCCCGTGAGCACAACCTACCTCAAACCTCGGAATGAGCCTGAGCCGCTTTTCACAGAGGTTAAGCCAGCGTCTCCTCAGAAGAAACCAGCCAAGATCAGTGACAGTTCGACGGCTGATGAAATTATCGATGCATTAAAAAATCAACCAGACTACGATACACTTATCTCGATACTCAAGTTTCTAAATAGCCCTAAACCTGCATCTGGTAACTTCTCATTCTCAACACCCAGTCCCAAAAGCGCATCCATCGTCCATTTGTTGGTCTCGGAAATCGCATCCAATTACTGGACACTTTTACTTGAGGGAAACATCGAGGATGATACAAAGGGCAGAACCGCACTTCCACGAGATGCAGATCTTTTTCTTAGCTGTCTACGCAGTCTGACCGGTCTTAACGCCCTCATCACACAAATACGAGCTCTCATTCAAGAGTCACGGCTAGGAGGGAAAGAAGAGAAGAGAGCAGACTTGTCAATCAACGCCGGAATTTCGTTGAGTGTTCTCTCTTCCATTCTTGGTCGTGACGGTTCAATTTCTACGATATGGAGCTCATCAACCAAAGGAGTTTCCAATGCCGCTCTGCAAAGAGTCCAGTGTCAGAAGCTTGGATCAATTCTCACGAACGGTCAAATTGTATCGATTGCAGCAGAAGCTTTGGAAGTCATGGGACGCGATCGAATTGACGATGAGGCTCACTGGATTGCCGACGGACTCCAATATAGCCGATGGCTAGGAAATGCCATTGTCTCGTGGGTTAATTCATCCCCTGAACCCGATGGTATGGTGTTCGTTTGTGAGTTGTTCCAAAAGTCGTTGTCGCTGCATAATTCAGGTAAGACACGTGGATTACAATTATTGATACTTGCTGACGCTCATGTCACAGAAACTCTTATCAAAATTGCAATCGACGAACTTCTTCTTTCCAAAAGAAACTCGATTTCAACCTTCACACAACTTGCTCTCAGCCAAAATCGAACATCTAAGAAGGTATTCCATATTTTGCTTCAGCACCTTTCACAGAAATACTTGGATCGTCTAAACCTGGAAGACGCAACCCCTGACGACAAGGTTTCTGCTGTTGCTGGGCTTCTCAAAGAAGTCGCATTAAATGACGAAACGAGAAGAGATATGCTTATAAACTGGTGCGCATCTTCATCGGGCGCTGGTGTTGGCGATGGAGTAGGTATACGCCGAGCTGTCGTAGCTGCACTGGCACAAGATCGAGACGCGATTACTACTGTACTGGAGAGAAGCATTGCACAGTTTGGAGATGAGCTGTACATCAGACATTCAGCAATGCTTCAACAAGATGGTAAATTCTATGCCGATATGTTTTAAATACATGCTTGCTGACTTTTGGCAGCACATACCCAGATATTACTCCTTGCCGCTGGCTACGTGCACAGAGTTTCTCCGATGAAACTGACGTTGCTCATGCGAGTCGGCACATATATGAACACCATCTCCAATCGAATCGGTTCCACACAGCCCAGAGCTCAGTTTCTTGGTTTGGTAGTTGGGGAATCGTTATCTGCTCTTATCGATGACAATAAGCAGAGGCTCGACTTCAAGATGGAGCAGACAGAAACAGAGGAAGCGCAGCAATTGAAGAGCCTTACCAAGGTTTCTGACCATATTGGCCCTATCGATCCTATCCTATCCGACCATACAACTGAAACAGTCCCTCAGAAGCGAAAGCCTTCAACGCCAAGCGAGGCTCTTCAAAAGAAAGCCAAGCAAAAGAAGAGGCCTGTTGTCACTGAAGTCAAGCCAAGAGCTATCATCGAGGAAATCGATTCTTCAGAAGAGGACGACGATCTCGCCCCTTACTCAAAGGACTCTGACCCTGAAGACTCGGATGACGACGCGACACTTGTACAACGCAACAAGCCCAAACCGCCGGTTTATATCAGAGATCTCATCTCGTATTTCAGAGACTCTGAATCATACGACAAGCAGTTGCTCGCTTTACAGACAGCTCCAATTCTCATCAGACGCAAAGCCAATTATGGAACCGAGGTAAGTTTCCACGCTGATGAGTTGGCCGGGCTTTTGGTGGGCATACAAGACAAGTTTGAGATCGAAAACTTCGATGATTTACGGTTACAAGGTATGGTAGCGCTTGTTGTCTCTCAACCTAAGACTATGGCCCCCTGGTTTGCTCGAACTTTCTTCGAGGGTGACTATTCCCTCCACCAACGGACATCAATACTTGTCACATTGGGCCTGTCAGCCCGAGAACTGGCTGGTTTCGAAGTATCTCAATACCAGTCGGCTGCTGCCTTTCCCTCGAAGCGGCTCCCTGAAAAGATGGAGCAACTATACATTAGCTCGGCGAATGAAAGCAACACCCTGCCATCTTCTCAACTGAAAGCACTCCCATCAACTGCTCTCGAGAGTATCTCACAGTCGCTGACATCTTCATTCCTTGCTCCGCTTGCTGCGGAAGCAGCCGATGCCAACACAGGACCTGATGTTCTAAAGCTTCAAAGCTTCACGGCCCGCTACAAGTCCAAATCGAGTTCCAAACCTCGTATGCGTGCTATTCCCAATACGACTGCCGCTCTCCTTGCGACATCTTTCTTCTCCCCACTCACGGCACATTTTCAAGCCGCGCTTCGTTCTGTCAAACCAATTATTCTCAACCATGCACTTCTGGCGCTCTACCTACAGACGTTGGGTGTTATTGTTCACGCTGCTGGACCCTCCACGCTTTCATTGCCACAGTTGACCGCGGAGCTATGGGATTTGCTTCTCGGCGTTCGTGTACATGTTTTCGACGATCTCGGCGCTATGAAAGGCTGGCTCGTGGCCATGGCGTCCCTGCTGGAAGTAAATGGCGGCGACATGCGTCGTCTTTGTGAAACACAAGGCAGAGAGGTGATGGAGACAAGGGAATGGGTCGCAATGGTGTTCGAGAAGACAAGAGGAGAGGATGGAGGGGATGAGAACGAGGTCAAAATGTTGGCGGCAGGAGTTTTGATCAGGTTGGGAGAGGCTATCGAAAGCTACCAAGCTTTGCTAATGGGAGACCTGGTCGGATTCCAATAAGCCAAATACGGGAGCTTGGTGGATGGGAAAATTTCAATCATTCTATTCGTGATTTATTATGATCATACATCGTATTGCACAATATCCAGCTTTTAACCAGTATTCAATGTGATGGCAAGCCATTCCCGAACTCCAAGATCACATGGTGTTATATTATTGATTCCCATATGCATGCGTGAATGTCTTCAAGGGGTCTCAACAGACTCCATTCGTGTTGTGCTCACTCTTCGAAGTGGAAGACCTGACAAGTATGTATTCGCGTGGCTGAGATGGTCACTCAGGCTCATGGCCATGCGTCGAAGCTCCTCCTTGACATGTTCTGACGAGGCCTGGCCTTCCATAACCTGGGGTGAGGGTGCAGTGGGGGCAGGCGGGAGAAATGATTGTTGTTGTTGATAAGACCGGGGGTAGTCATCCCGAACTGGTGACCGGTCGAGTTGAGGCTGGAGTGGAGGAGGTTGAAGTTCAGGGGCGACAAGTGTTTGTGGAGTGAAAGATTCAGGATCGGTATCGGCGAACTCGCTGAGGGAGTAAGGTCTTTCACTCGGGGTGTTCGCATTGGCCTGGGGAGGTTGGGATTGTCCCTGTGGTTGATATAGGGGTACTTGAGTCTGCTGGTAGGACATTTGAGGATCATGTCGCTGAGTGTTATTGAGCGAAAGGTCCGCAATCGCATTTGCAAACTCGGAATCATCAGATACATAGATGGAGGGCTCTCGTATACTATTGGGCATAGCATAAAGAGAGGCGTGCTTTTCCAGCTGGAAAGGATCGGCACCTCCTAATTCTGAGCCAGCCAAGGATCCCACATCCGAATGTGATGTGGATGGCCTGGTATAGTCGCTCATAGGAATGGGATCAGCTAGACCCATGTCCAAATCAATGAGACTGCCTGACGACGCTCGGTTATTGACTGGGGAAGGAACCGCAAGGTCATTGAACTGCGCTGAAGGCTGGATTGGCTCTGTCGGAGGGTGGATCAGACGGCTGGTACTTGGCCCTTGGTCATCGTTGAACGGAAATCTGAACATTTCGGGATTTGCTGAGGCGGGAGGGGCCATCGAGGGAAATTTCCAATCTCGTGTTCTGCGGTTATTGTTCATCATATCTGCCGGATCACTAAGCGGCGGCTTATTATAGGAGACATCGCCAAAATCATAGTCGGTAGATGCTCTAGGGTCTCCAGCTCTGATTGTGTTCAGGTCGACAAATTCGGAGAGGTTGCTACCATCTAAGGACATGTCGAGGTCAATCAGGGATTCTCTCACTCCAGGAGACTGAGATGAGTCGTCTCGTAGCGGTAAATCCGACGCAGGAGGGGGGGTGGAGGGGTGAAATCAGCAGTAGGCGGAGGAAACGGACGACCATAATATGCTCGTGAGTTGTCCTCGTAGTTCGATATCGTGTTAGGATCAAAAAGCTTTTCCAGCGGTGCCTTGACGGAAGGAAGGTGAGGTGGCGGACGTCGACGTGATTTTGGCTTTTGGGTTCTGGAAGCATCGTCGAATTCATCTTGCTTGAAGTCGACGTTGGAGCCGTAAACATCAAACACAGCTTGAGCGTCGCCAGTTTGGAGCACCTGTTGATCGAACGCGGCGGTTGTACTGAAGTTCCACTCGTCATTGTCCAAGGCCAGGTTAGCGAGATCAGATGGTCCCTGGGCTCCTCCTGCGGAGAAGAGAGACTTGCGAACACCACCTTGAGCCTCCCACAACTTGTAGCCTCTAACCAAGTGTGCCAAGCCCGAGGCAGGATAGGCATCCTGGGTGTTGTATATGTATCGGTGTCTCTGAATTTGTTCAATTGGTGGGCGTTTCTTAGGATCATCAACCAAGCAATACGCCACGAGGTCTTTCAACCCCTGGGAATATCGGTCGCCTTCAAGTCGAGGGATATGTTGCTTGAGGTATGAGCCTAATCTGTTGAAGTCCATCATGCCTGCAGCCACGCTTGGAGGTAGACCCGATGCGATTTCATAGACCATGGCGCCAAAAGCCCATATATCCACCTCAGTACCATAAGAAGCCGCAGGGTCGAATAGTTCGGGGGCCATCCAATGGGGTGTACCAATGACTGTTGAGCGCTTGTCGAATTTGGTTTCGATTACACCAGCAACTCCAAAATCACAAAGCTGAACGTTTCCCTCCTCTGTGACTAGGATATTGGCACACTTGATGTCTCTGTGAATGATACCCTGGCCGTGAACCCAGTAGACAGCTTCAGCCACTTCGCGCAAAATGGGAATAATCCATTTTTCCTGAAGGCCGCCTGGTGAGGTTGGTTTCATAAGAGTAGCCACGCTGCCTCCAGCGCAGTATTCTGTGATCATCCACATGGACTGCCCGACAGGAAGAGCATCGATAACATGATTGATGTTCTTGGCGCCACTGTTACTGAGCAGTTGCAGGGCACTAATTTCCTTGAGCAAGTCGCTATATGTATCGGCGAGCTTGGGGTTGACTGTGTCACTCTCTTCAATGTCAATGATTTTGACAGCAACCAGCTGATTCGTTGTTAGAGAGGTGGCCTTGTAGACGCGACCAAAACTGCCTTTGCCGATGAGCTCTGAAAGCCGATACTGTGGAGGATCCTTTCCGACTTTCGAGCATTGCTCGGCAACCACTTTTTGCATTTTCTTTGCATCTTCAATCGCTTTTTGCTTTGTGACCGAAACATCCGGTCCTCTAACTTGAAGCGACGCCATAATGATGAATGTTGTGAGGCCTGTCTCGGGTTGCTTAGCAGGGGATGTGTAACTAAGCTAAGATCGCTTGAGCTTGATATGTCTAGATGGTTCACTTCATGATAGCCTGGACATGTGATGCAGGTGAGGGGAAATGGAAATCCAGACTGAGTGTGGGTTATGAGAAAGAAGACGAGGAGTGATGAGTTGAGGTGAGTTTTTGGCGATCTCGAAAGCGTCGAATGAATTGGGTTTGTTGTTGTAACAGCTCAATGTTGCATTTGGAAAGGGGTCCTTGACGCTTTCCCCAAGTTACAGGTTACGGTGGTAGCCAATGAGCGGAGTTGATAACGCTGTGGCGGTGCAGTCTTGGGTGGCTAATGCGAAAAGACAGCCCCATCTCCAATTCCTTCAGGTAGGTACTTTGTTAGCGTTAGCGGCCAATTGCAATCATGATACAGCGATGAAACTAGAACTGTCACATTCCGAGCAAGATACAACAATTTGTCATTAATAAGGTCAATTCTCGCAGACAATTATATTACTTTGACATATCCTTCAGTTGTATGTTCTGAAATTTGTTTTTATTTCGTTTTTTAATGGTTATTGCTGAGACCAGTGTCTTATTCCCCCAACATCAAATGTACCTTGATCAACATTCAACACTTCGCATAACGACAATTATATATTATATTCATACTCAATAATTTTTTTTTACATCAACTTCAAGAATATTATCGTTCTCCTACCACCTCGAGCGTCAGATCCGAACAAGGCGACTCACTTCACCAACCATGTTTCAGACAACCGCTCAGATACAGCACACGTCACCCATCTCCTCGGTTGCTGCAGCCCCAAAAGCCATACAGATGCTCCACGATCATGTCTTCTTCTTACATTGTAACCCCTATATGTCAAAATTCGAAGCCATACACACCCCGGACCCTACTCCATCGGTTCCTGACACACTTGAGGTCAAGCCTATCGCAGCACCAGACTGTTATTCGGTCACAGATCGAATTCACACCTTGCCAGCAGGGCTCTGGGACTCCGATGTGGTTAGCTCATATGAGTTTTTTGACCTGGAAAGGGGTGTGTTTGTGAGGACTCGAGGGCCAATGGGTCTGGTACTTGAGACTCTTTGGAGAATTCAAGAAGCTGAGGATGGAAGCCTGGCGATCGTGGAGAAGGTCTCCATTACATGTTCCAGGCTGATGATGGGTATGATCAAAAGCTCGTGTGAGGCTGGATGGAGAGGGGTTCATGGAAAGATGCTCGAGAGGATAGAAGAGTCCTATAAGTAAATCTTTCAACAATACCATGATGAGAATAATTGGACGACAAAGTCAAGTTATGACCCTCCAGTGCATGGTGATAGCCGTACGGAGTGTTGTTTCCTGTCACGCCTTATCTCCATAATGTTCGCCAGCAATACCGCTAGGCTACCTTGACTAGCTCTGGGGCCGGATCGATTCACAATGGATATATAGTCGCTCAGGTTTCCCCAATTTCGCAATTCGTCTCAGTCTCAACTCTTACAGAAGACACAGCATATACATAAGTACTGCGATCTCATGAAGAGGTTCTTATATTAAGTCAATGAAGCAGCGGTACTATGGGCAGCATTGCGAATGTACTGGAATCCTACGAAGGCTTCTTTACGGGGATTTATTTCGAGCTGAAAACTATATTGCAGTTGTGTTCTTTTTCGCCTCAAATAAGCATCATCCCAGGCAACAGCTATTAACTCCAGCCCCAAGCAGGCAACAGCAGGAGCCTAATAAGAGAGTTTTTACCCTTTTATATAGGCTGACTACCTACCTACCAAAGCCAGCTCATATTTCATAAGTTGCAGCCAAGCTTCTGCCTAAATAACTTTGATCTCCTAAGCCACAGAGGGAGTCATTCTTAAGTTTCAACCTCAGTCTCGAGGCCATCATGATCATACAGGCCGGGTATAAAAGGAGCGCCTCCTCCAAGAATTTCTCTTTCTTTTTCCCTTCTTCTTCACCTTCTTCTTTGCCATAAGGCTCGGATCAAAGTGTAGTAACTGTTATTGTTGAGGCTAACCCCTCAATACAGGTCGTATACTGGCCTCTGGTGTTGCTCTGATTTTTGGTTTATTGGTGATGGCTCAACAGCGCTTGCGTGGTTGAATCGTTTCCGGAGTGTCCTTGGTATTACACTGTCTCCAAGCGATGCGCATATGTTTGTTGTCTCACAGTACATTTATCATGACTCTTCATTGCATCTTTGGCTGGTAGATCCAGCGGTGCGAAGAAGGTCGCTTCCTCTGCAGATAGGTATTATCTGAAAGCAGGTAGTTGTGTATTTTTGTAGCAGCTGAAGGTAGATAGAGAGAAAGTAGCGAAGGGTTGTTGCACACTCCTCACAACCCAACTTTGGTGGATGATAGACGAAGTTATGATTCAATTAGAAGTAGATGCTCTCGATTTGTCTATCGAGAGGAAATAAGCACATTCTTGTGCCATATTTTAAGTAATAAAGGATATAGACTAAATATTTATCACAAGCTGCACCGAAATATGAGCCCTGTTGCCAGTGGTTAGAGACCTTACGTAGGTAGTAGTGACAACAGTGAGACGGCCATAAATCTGCTCTCTACTGTCGTCACGTGATCTCGCGACACCCACTTTGCCACCCATCGCGCTTTCGTGTTAAGAGGTTCAAATCATCCCACTTCATTTTCGGTTGGTTGCCGATCTTCCAGGATATCTTCGCATGCCTTTCTGCCTTCTGCTCCTTGTCTTGATGACAACTAAATGGCCTTGGTCTCTTGTTTAGTTCTTCATTCCGTCCAAGACATAAGTCATTACTCACTATTTAACTGGCTATCACAATGGTGGCCCCGAAAAAGTCCAACCAGTCTCATACCCCGAAGAAGACTACCTCACAATTACCCAAAAAGCCAGTCAAGGCCAATCAAAGTATTCTTAGCTTTTTTAAGAAGGCTGAAAAACATGAGGCCTCTCTGTTTCTTGGGGCTGCGCCGGACCCTATTGAGCACGAAGACCTCTACACTGCCGATGACGCCGACGACTCGATCCGATACAATGAGGCCGAATCACCCAACAAAAAACGGAAACTAAGCGAAGAACCTAAGCAATTGCCCAAGATAATCGTCTCAGTAAAAGCCGAACAAGTGGCCGTGACTGAAGACCGATCCTCGCCCGTCAAGGATGATGGCGAACCTCCACGGAAGTTAACAAAATCCAAGATCAAGACTCCATTCGTAATGGACTCGGACAGTGAGGATGAGCCCGAAAACGATTCCATGGCCACAAACAACAGGCCTGAAAAGAATGGCCAATGTACGGAGCTTTCCCCGCAAAACGAGGTCCAGACGGACGGTTTTACTAAGAACGATGAAAAGAAGGAAACAGATATTAGTACCCAAGCCTTGAAACGGGAAGATTCAACATACCAACAATTCGACGATCTTGGAGAAATAGCAGACAAAGAGTTCCCAGATCTGAACGATCTCGAAGGGGAGGAAATGCGGGTAATGCGCTACATGAAAGAGCAAGCTAGGTTAGAAGCGGAGGAAGCCGGGATTTCGAGCGAAGACCTGGCCGATGAACCCCTTGACGATGATTCTATGACAGAGTGCTGTCCTATATGCAGCGGGAGCCTGGCAGGGATCTCCATGGATGAAGCAACACGGCACGTCAATTCCTGCCTCGATGGGCACCCGATTCCGTTGCCAAAGACGGAGCAAACAACACCAGAACGAATTAAGTCGGAGAAACCAACTTCGGCGATCCCTGTCGCGACACCTGAGGTCGAATCGACCGATGTAAGCAAAAGATTTGCACGGGCTGCTGTTCCCAGGCCCGGTCAGGCGAACCCTTTTGAAGTTATAAGTTCTGGCCCGGCACCGAAATCTGCTTTCTCCAAACTCATGTCCAATAATGCTGAAGATTCAGCTTGGCAGGAGGCTGCTGCTGCTGAGCACGCTTCAAGAGGAAAGCAAGCGTATGAGAGGACGTGTCCTTTCTATAAGATAATGCCCGGCTTTTCCATCTGCGTGGACGCATTCCGGTACGGCGCCGTTCAGGGTTGCAAAGCATACTTCTTGAGTCATTTCCACAGTGACCACTACATTGGCCTTACAGCAAGATGGTGTCATGGCCCTATATACTGCAGTAAAGTCACGGGCAGTCTTGTCAGAAATCAACTTCGTACAGCAGCAAAATGGGTTGTGGAGCTTGAATTCGACAAGTCCTACGACATACCAGGGACAGAGGGCGTGACAGTAACGATGATACCAGCAAATCATTGTCCTGGAAGTTCTCTCTTCCTTTTTGAAAAGACTATGAAGCAAGGCCCCAATAGCCGTGTTCAACGCATATTACATTGTGGAGACTTTCGAGCTTGCCCTGCTCATGTCAAGCATCCCCTTCTCAAGCCAGAGACTGTTGACACGATCTCTGGAAAGGCCAAGCAACAAAAGATTGATATCTGCTACCTAGACACCACATATCTTAATCCACGATATTCTTTTCCACCTCAGAACGATGTCATTAAGGCCTGCGCCGATCTTTGTGGTTCAATGTCTCCTGATCCCAACTGCAAAGACGATATTTGGGAAAAGGCTAGCGGACAAGGGACTTTGGCAGTCAGCAAGTTCTTCCCAAACACAAAATCGGATGAGAATGCAAAAGTCGACACTAAGAAGAAACACCCTCAACGGCTGCTTGTAATTTGTGGCACGTACTCTATTGGAAAAGAACGCATCTGTATCTCCATTGCTAAAGCACTCAAGTCCAAAATCTTTGCATCGCCTGGCAAGATCAAGATCTGCAAGCAGCTGGACGACCCAGAGCTCACGGCGCTCCTTACATCTGATCCCCTCGAGGCACAGGTGCATATGCAGATGTTGATGGAGATCCGTGCGGAAACTCTCCAAGAATATCTAAACAGCTACAAGCCGTACTTCAGTCGTATCGTAGGACTTCGGCCAAGTGGTTGGAATTTCCGACCAGCAGGCAAAGCCATCGGTGCGAACACACCACCTGGCAGTATCCATACTCAGCAGATCCTTCACGACAAGGGCTGGCGAACACGATTTGGATATAAAGATTTTATTCCGCAGAGAGGCAGTACCAAGGAAGCCATGTGCTTTGGAGTTCCTTACTCGGAGCACAGTAGCTTTCGAGAACTAGCCATGTTTGTTATGAGTTTGAGAATAGAGAAAGTTATCCCAACAGTCAATGTAGGGAGTGAACAGTCAAGAAAGCAAATGAAGGGTTGGATAGACCGCTGGCTTTCAGAAAGAAGGCGGGCTGGATTGGTGATGCCACTCATTGAAGGTGAAGACGATGACAAGGTGTCTGAGAAGGAACTCTGGGATGGTAAACCTGGTAAAGCAGGCGGAGCATTTTGGTGATGAATTATGATGTGAAGGATTTGTATAGTATTCTCTTGAGCCGGAGTTTCATCTGACGACCTGTAATTTTTAGATACCATGTTGACACATCAACGTCGTCCAGCGTTTCATGACTCTCAATTCTGTATGATTTCTAAAAGGGAAAAGAAGAGCATTTCATTATCCATATCAGGAGCAAACGCCTCGTGAATTCTCCCTTTTGATCATTCCGGTTTCGGTGCACTCGTCATTCTCTTCATTTGGTAAGAGTCAACTCTGACATGTTTTATCCTGCCTCTCATCCGTCGCCTTGAACCGCTCATTTTGCCTTGGCCTGCTGAGCTGCCGCTTCTGCAACACACATGTTAGTGTACCGTATTGACTTTCTTTGAAAACGCAACTTACCCCTCCGTGTAGCATCCTCCAGCAGCTGCGTGTCGACTGACGCGCCGGGAAGATGAACGTATCTGACAACTGAGCCTCGGATAAAGACATTCTTGACAGAGCTCTGCGATGATATTAAGTCAGATATCTAGTTTCTTTCACGACGTCAAGGATAAGGGCATAGTCGACATACAAGATGAGGGTACTTGAGCTCCTCAACAACTTGAATGTCATCGAGCTTGATGTTGAGGTACTGATCCACACTCTTGAGAATTCCCTTCAGCTGAATGTCGTTCTTGAGCTCTACAGTGACCTCATGGTCGATGAGTGTCTTGAAAAAGCTGTATAAATAGCGTGTCAGTGTGCGAACAAGGGCGTTAACCACACGGAGGAGAGTTCGAGGGTACCTAAAAAAGAGCATGGTATCGGTGGCTTTTTCGCGCTTGAGACTTTTCGCGGGAAGAAATGAATATTTTGTCGGGGGTTGAGAGGGTTTATTCTGTAGATTGAACCGGCTTTGTGATCTCAAATGAGTTTCTGTATCGAAGAAGGCGCTTAGATGCTTGTTTGGTGGTACAGGTTCTCCATCATGATAGCGTCCGTCTACAGCTGGGCAGGCACACTGTCGATTGCGATCACGTGATTGTTTATGATTCACCAGCAACTCACGAAATGATCTAGTATCAACAGTAATCTCTCAATGGTATCTTCAACTTGCGGCTTAGTTACATGTGTATCCCTTTTGTATTCATACGTCTGTTTGGATGAAGAATAATGCTCAGATAGTTCTTATTTTCTTCTAAATAAAACCAGCTGGTCACGTACCGAGACTGACTGAAAGCCAAGTCCCTTCGTGCCCCAGGTAAGGCCTGTAAAGAATCATACGCCTTGCCTATAGACCTCCAATCCTCGATTTGATCCTTTGTTGAGTTCTCATGTCCTCGTCTTAGCAACAACAAACGTCCAACCCTCACACGATTCCCCTTCCTTGCCTTCAATAAGCAAAAGCCTCCATGTACAACCACGCTATGTATATCAATAGTATATGGATCCTATCATTCCAACGCCTGCAAGACCGGGAAATGTTGAGTTGTTTTGTTTCGTGATTCGTGAAATTGAGCTTTGTAGTCTACGCTACATAGCGGTACAGAGTTGGCGCGTCATCCTCATCAGGGCGCTCGAGATATTCTCTTGCGATGAGATCCTCAATACGCTTCTTGATGAGGGCAACTTCGGGGCGGAAACGACCGGAGAGTTGTGAGAGAACTTCACTGGTGAGCTGCGAGTGAGAAAGCTCCTTTCGAGATCTGCGAGAATTAGTAACTAAAGCGGGCAATAACGCTTAGACTTGGGCCTACTTCATGATTCGCACAATGGCCGCATCAACAATGTGAGCTCTTGTTTGGTTGTTCTTCTCCTCGGTGTTCTTTCGTTCCGTGTTATCTTCAACCCTGGACACCGCATTGATGATGGGTGCCTTGATTCGTATAGTCTTGCTCTGGAAAGAGGCATTGAAAGAAAACTTATCGCCGAGTTTCACGGACTTGTTGGCAGGGTCCTTCATCAAGACGCGAGACTTGGGTGCCACAGCAATAGCTGTCAGCGTCCTCATGAGGTCTGGATTTGAGATGTTGGTCTTAGCTTGAATCTCTTCGAAGGTTAATGACTGACCCTCCTCAAGATCATTGAAGAGAAGCAAGACAACCATAGCAAAAGTCGGTACGTTGATCTCATACCTCCGCTCGCGAGAGAGCGGACCAGACTTTCCAGGGATGGCCGGGAAAGTACATTTGACATCCGAACTACCAGTGGTACCGATCCAGGTGAGCTTGCGTCCATTACGGTTAGTTAAATAGTACTGCTCAAAGCTCGCCTGCAATCGTCGCAGTTCAGGAGGGTACGTGCACGTAACACGAGAACCTTCGCCAATCTGTGTAGTTCGGCCCATGACCTCAGGTGGCCAGTAGTTGGTGGTGAGAACGTTGATGTTAAGGTCGATGGTTTTGCCGCTACCATCTCCCAGGTCACGAATGTGGTCACGATAGCCGCTGGTGAGCTCTGTTGACGTGACAAGATCTCTGAACATGCCTTCAAACTTGCTGGTGAATTGTTGGCCCAGTTCTTGTTTCATTCGGGAAATGATCTGCTTTTCGACATCATGGCTTTCGGACTTTCCTTGAAGAAGACGTCTTGCCAGATGCCTCTGATAGTATGTCTGGAATAGATCTCTATCCTGAAGGTACCGGATCAAGACGATGGCTTTCTCTAGAACGACATCGACCTCTGCCTCTGTCTTGCCTTTGATGCCTCTCTTGAGGTTGTCATCGATAAACAGAGAGACATATTCAGAGCTGCGGTTGAACATGTTGATAAAGTCAGAGAAGCTCTTGGTCAATGCGCTCTGAATGATAAGATCTCCTTGAAAGCAACGAGCCCAGAGGTTATCGAACTTGTCCTTCAGACGAAGTACATCGTCCACCCATTTGATCGCAGCAGCTGTCTGCTGCGCCGCGGGATTCAAGGTCTTTGTCTTTTCCCCCTCACCTGCCTCGTCCCCTTCGCCATGGCCAGCCGAGAAATCAGTATTCTTCAGTACCTTCTCAATCTCCAAGCCTAGCTCAACCACGCGACTTTGCAAAATGTCTCGTAAAGCAGTCTTCTTGGAATCAACCCTGGAGATGAGTTTGTAGAGAATCGAGAGGTCGTCAATCTTGTCATTGTCGATCATCCATTTCAGCCCACTCCCTTCAAGAGCCAAAAATTCGGACAGATGCTTGACTATGAGTTCCTGATCAATAGTTTGTGTGACTTTGGGTAATGTCTCCAGCTCAATTGTTGTTCCGCATCGGTCGATTTCTTCGTTCAGTCGCAGTTGAGTGTGTCGTAACCAGGCTCCGGCATCCGATTCACGTAGTAGCTTCTCACACTCAGTGGCATAATATTTCTTGCTGTTTTCGAGGAAGCGGGGTTCGAATACTGTCATGTACAGTTTATCAGTTTCCTTCTCTTCTTCGGTTTCGTAGAGACTGCTGAGCATTCGGCTGCAGCTTCGAATGAGATTTCTGTCGATGATGTCTCCTTCGCGCTCCATATCGATCTGGTCGAGGACGACTGATATAAGGATGTCGATCACTTTGCTCTTTGTGTTCGTGTTCAGGGAAGATCGTAGAATGTGATCACGGAAAAGCGCGATGGTGGTGGCGAAAATGGGGGTTCGTTGGGCTTCGAGCTGCGCGTAGCCCCGATCGAGATACATTAGAATATCGGCGGTCATGTTCATAGACATGTTGTGGTCTTCCCAGGTATCACGCAGGCCTTTGAGGAATCTCTCCCCTGTCTGCCGTCTCTCGTTGACGGACGTCGTCGAGGTTCGTTCGGCGCCAATGTTGATCAGGCTCTTACTGACCAGTTCTCGAATCTTGGGGATAACGTGATCTGCGAACCACTGTTCCTCGAAAGCTTTGACCCTATCATAAAGCAATTCGCCTTTCTTCTTAAGTACCATCTTGTACGCGGCTCGGTACAGCTCCTCGAATGACAGTCGGCTGCAGTTCTTCATGTGGATGTCGCGCAGGGCTTCCTCTAGCATCTTCCAGCAAGCCTCGAAATCGGAACCTTCGACAGCTTCATTTGGCTATTGGTAAGGTCTTAATATAGGATTCAAATACTAACGTTTCAGTATATCGAACTTACACGCACAATGCGACGAGGAGGACGAATCCTTCCCCGAGCGCCAGCTCCTCCACGTCCCGAAATCATACTTTATGGCTGTACAGTCTGGCGATGTCGCCCCAGGTAAGTAATTCCAGGTGTATGCTTTTTATGTTTCTTAGGGAAGAAAGGAGCTCCGATACGTTTTCCGTGATGATCTTGAGCCTTGAATATGGTGGGGTAATGATGGATGCAAGTCGTAGGCTCAAGCGGGGCGCGCAGTGAATGGCAAAACCGGCGAATAAACAAAGGAACAAAGAGGCAAAGGCTAAGGTAAAGAAAGGTTTCAGGGAATGATACCCCGAGTATCCGGTAGAAGGCAAAGGAAAGGAGGAAAACCCCGGGGCACAGGCAAGAGACAGGCTTTAAGAGATGACATGCTCAAGTTGGCGAGGCTGCAATTTATGGCTTCTGGTTCCATGGTTTGTTAGTTCAACACCCGGGCCCTGTTATCGATAAGCTAAATGTACACCAAGGATGCAACCTGTGTGGGTAACTGGCCAACACCGAGCTTCCCAGCACGAGGTCACGTGGAAACAATGCCTCGGAGCTCCGACCCTCGATTTTTCCGACCGACAATTCAGGCGGCCTTGTTTGATAGCCAGCCTCTCAGCCTCACGCCAAATCGATCCTACGACGCGCCTAAAACCGCCGACTTCACCCCCGATCAATTATACAGCAGTTTAAGCGCCTAAACCCTCTCAAATAGTCAACATGAAGCTGGTCCGGTAAGAACTTGCCCTATCCCTTGCGCACACTTGGATTGTGCTGAGCTTCTCTTCAAGTTTGAGCTTCTGGACTGACTTGGCACGACTAGTTTTCTTATGAAATGCGCCAACGAAACGGTGACAATTGAGTTGAAAAATGGTAATATATTACTCCTTACACCTGAGCGAGCTTACGTAAATGCGAGGAGCCGTGTACTAACTGTCTTCTAGGAACCATTGTTCATGGCACTATTTCCTCAGTCTCTCCCCAGATGAACACCGCTCTCCGTACCGTCAAGATGACCATCAAGGGGCAGGAGCCCATCTCCCTGGAGACCATGAACATTCGAGGCTCTACAATCCGATATTTTATCCTGCCCGACTCTTTACCCCTCGACACACTGCTTATCGACGACGCACCTAAGCCCAAGAACAAGGCACGAAAGGAAGCGGAGCGGGGAGGACGAGGAGGACGAGGCAGAGGCGGTCCCAGGGGACGCGGACGTGGTGGAGGCCGCGGCCGTGGAGGACGGCCTTAGAGAGGACGGTCCTAGACGAGAAGGTCACGAGAAGATTTAGGAGAAACGACAAGATAGGGAAAGGCTGGAAGCGCACATGCGTGTCGCTAATGTGGAGTGACCACGTTATTCGCGAAGATATCACATTCAAATGGAACCTGGCGTTAGGGTTGTTTGGCCATTAAAACTGTATGAACCCGCGTGGGGTGGGTATCGCTTTTCTTGTTGTGGAAAGATATCTGAATATATGCTCTTACACGCCCCAATTCCATTACAACGTCTTCTTCTTTATTCTGCAGCGTTCGAATAGTCTCGCCATATCCGTACGATCTGCAGCTTCTCCCACCCGGCCTGTTTGCCGCTGGTCCCAACAGTTCGAGCCCGCCATTCAGGCCCAAACCCCTCGATGCGACTCTTGACTTGATCTGGCTTGTTTTGGGCGCATAGGAGGAGGTAGGCACAACCGCGGCGGGACAGGGTTCGAGGTAGTGCCTCAATCAATCTGTCTGTTGTCTCCATACCATCTAAGCCGCCTGCGTAAGACAAGGCCAGCAGATACGAATCATCGTCAAATGAAGGCGTTGTGCTGACTGCGAGGTCGTCTGCGGTAAACGAATTTGGTCTGGCAGGCATCTCAGGCGTGGGCACATATGGCGGGTTGAAGATGAGAACGTCAATGCTGCCCTCGCGCCATGGGGTTGTGAGATCTCCCATGCACGAGCCCAGGTAAAATGCGTGCGAGTCTGGGTTGTCAGAAGCTGCCTTTGCAACTGTTCCGACAGTAGCCCGACACGCAAAGGCATTCATGTCAACACCCGCAGTAAGGACGTTGCGCGTGCCAAAAAGCTTTTGCGCGTGTGCGTGGACAAAAGCGAGGACGACGCCTGAGCCTGTGCCGACCTCCACCACAAGAGGCGCTACATCGAGAAAAGCCTTTTGGAGATACTCGGTCTCTGAAGTAGACGAGAGCGTGTCCAGGAGGAGGTATGAGTCCTCGGCAGGTTCGTAGACTCGCTCGTATGGGACATGCGAAGTGTCTGGTGTTGGTAACATGATGTATACCGGTCAATGTGAAAATACGTTGTGATTGTGATGAGGCTTCATATGTAGATTATAGATAGAAACTTGTGATGACACTGAGTGGGTGCGGCACGTGATGTATGTACTTGGAATCAAGAAATTGAGACTACCTTAAATAATTGACAGGAACAAAAGACGGGTATAAAGCAGTTGTCGGTGGATCGTAAATCCCTGGATCATAATAGAGTGGTAACGGGCTCAACTTCGAACTGGTCGCCTTTTGTCGGGTTGGAAGGGAGTTAATTATCTGGTTCACTTGCATCAGTATGGACGGATATCTTGGGGGAAACATGAACCAGGCAGACAGACACCTACAGTTGTTACCTGTTCCCTCATCAAACTGGTATAAAACACCAGAATCTCCAAGCTCGTACTGAAATCTGCTGCCACGATCCCCTCAAAGAATCGAACACTTCATCTCGCAACCCCAATCATCCTGTCCTGGCCCAACTCCCCATTTAATTCCCCAGCCCATATCCTCCACCATCCGAACCAAATTACGATCGTATACACCGTGCAGCTGGCATCGAGGACATGGTCGGCTCTTTGTGTTATAGAATTTTGGTGGTTCCTGGGCTATACCGTCGCAGAAGGTCGGGCAATTGTTGAGGCCCATGAATGGCTCGCAGGGTTCCATGAGGACAATCCAGGTGTGTTTGCATTCTTTGTGTTTGAAATATGTGAGAGTGCACATTCTGAGGTGTTCAGAAGTAAAATCGCAAGAAAAGATGTCTTGGAATTATTGCTAAGACAAAGATGAAGAAGTTCTATTCATAAGGTAGAAAAGGAAGGTTGGTTGGCTGTGTGGTGAAGGATATTTCCAACAGTGCCAGTTATTCAGTGCTAAAACAAAAAACAACCACAATAATATTGTATGGCAACGCCCTTCCATAGCTCTCCGCGTGTACAATTCTGTTTATAATCATACCCAAACACCATGCAATGATCATGACTCTCGGTCCGCTAAACCTCTAAATGATGACTCGGCAGTATTGTCTCCTCTGAGTGTCCCGCTTTGCTCCAGCTCGTCATCGCTGATGGCGTCTTCGACGGATGGAACCAAACGAGATAGCATCATTTCCATACGCCGTATCGCCTTTTCCATATTGGCCAGTCTATCCGTAGTTCCTTCAAACATGTCATTCTCAGAGAAGGATCCTCGAAGCTTCTGAGGTGGGATCCCTGGAAACATGGAATCTCGTCGTGATGGGCGTCGAGCTCCGGGATCAGGCCTGGCGGCAGTCTGCAGGTTGCGAGGCTCTATCTCATTTGTCGCGTTGCGTGTGAACTGTCGGCGGATGAGATGATGCGTGAGATCATCATCGACAGCAATGTCGTCGTGTACAGTATCAGGCGGTGGGACTTGAAACACGGCGCGAAGGTCTCGGTGAACCGTCAACCGCCACTTCTTCCAAAATTGGCTCTTTGTCGGGGGCGGAGCTTTGACCTCGGTCGGGTCCTCGATCTCTCGGGAGGGCCAGAGCAGGCGGCGTTCAGCAACAGCGATTATGAGCAAGAGAGGGAGATTCAGAATCTTGACCGCTGTGACATGAATCTTGTGGAACCAGCGCGGACTCACAACAAATTTAAGCGGAATAAATAGGAATACAGCGAGGATGTTGAACGGGGGTTGGTATGCGAACACAGCGTCAGCTTTGACGCCTTCAAGTGTGAGAACTGCTCGACGGAAGCTGATCTCCGCTATGGCGTTTGACGAAATGTTACTGAACGTATTGGAAAGCATCGAGACAAGAATGGTAAGGAAGAGGGTGTTACCGAGGAAAGCGAAGGCTACCATCACACTAGGTCCTAGCAGCCAGTGAAACTCGGTCTAGTAGAGATGTCAGAATTCATTCAACGTACAGGGGGGCAACAAAGACTGACCGATCGATGGATACCTGTTCCATCCAATCCAAACCAGATGTAGATCATCCACTTCGATATTGTTCTGATGCATGTCAGTATCACATTTCACCAAGGTGGTGCAGGTAGAACCTACAGGATGGGGTGTGCGCCCTCGCCGAGCCAGAGAAGTGACAACAAGAACCCCAGGAAACACCAGGCAGATAGAGCTGTTAAGAAGAAAAAGTCCGCCATCATTGACCTGAGGGACAAGAACACGAGATTGTCGCTCAGCAGATTGAAAGCCAGCCGCGGAACCAATACAGGAGCGGCGAGTGCAAGCACATCAAATGCTTGTTCGTCAAGATTTGCGTCGCCAAGCTTCCAGCCCAAGAACCGTAATACAAGATACACCCAGTATATGAGAACAAAGGCCACATCGAGGAATGACCACAGGTTCTGGGTATAGACGTTCCTTTTGAAAAGTCAGTACTTGATTGACGACACGACTAGAAGGTCTGTAGCATACCAGCCATGTGCTAGAATAGTAGCAAATTGATCCAAGCCCCATCCAAAAGCAAAAATAGCAAAAGCTGCTTCTGTTGGTCCATAGCGGTTTTTCCTTCTAAGAACCATGACCGCAACGTAGAGGGTGAGCAGCGTAGCAAACTGGAGTGACTCGAGGACATTTCGGGTTCGGGGAACAATCAGACGATATTGGTTGAGAAGAGGGGATTCGCGGGGGTCATAAATGGAGATAGGCTTCAACTTGTAATGATCAGGTATGATGTCCCAAAATGTTGAAGGGGTATAGACGATTCGACCCTCATAGATGGCATTGACGACCTTTTGGCAAGTTGCGGAACTCAAGAAATGCTTGCTCTCAGTGACAATGGCCACCTCGAGAGATGGCAGCGTCTTGTAGTCAACCCATGAGGTGGTGCGCTCTGCCTCCTCTCGAATCTCTTCCGGGGCATTCTGAAAGGGCTCAAAACCAGCGACTAGAATATGAGCCAGGAGTAAAAGACCGTCATGGCCATCGTCATGCGCTTCACCAAAGCGTCTCAGGATGCGCGTAGCTATGAGCTCACATAGAGTAGCACGTGTGAAGTTGACATTGTGACGGTTGTTGAGATGAGACTGCTCTTCGAGAAACTGAGCACGATTGACCAGTAAACAGTAAACTATCCGGTTATATCAGTAAAGGAGTCTCAAAGGGGTTGACGGCACTTCTCTTACTGATGGAAATGTCGTTGAGGCCATAGAACTTATCAACCAACGGCCGCACAACTGTAACATTAATTCTCAGATCCTGCAGCTGGGCGAGGCTCAGATAGTCCTCAACAACGCTGATGATATCGCGACGAATACGGTGAATGTTGGTATACACAGGTAAATGACTATGAGGATCAGTCATGCAACTATACAAGGCATCGCGGTTCTCTGGACCGCCTGTACTGAGCCTACTCAGTAGAGGGCGTCGTTCTTCAGGATCCGGCAACGTGATGCGCCGGCGGGTGTTGCCAGCCATGAAATGGCCAGTCAAGTAATCGTGTAGTAGTGATGTTTAAGGGAGTGGCAAAGTCAGGACAATGAGGATGAGCTGCAGTTATCGCGTTGTCGGTGATGGTTTAAATCAAGTTTTGACCCTTTTTGGCGTAGCGAGCGATAAGATAGATGCTCTGAAACGCCCCAGAGCTCGCGTAAAGGCGCTATTGCATAGATACAAGGGCCTGGTACGGAGTAGTTTATGGAGAGGGGACGGAGGTAATTGATCTATGCCACGAATGATATCAACATTTGAAGTATAGATGAATATCCAATTCTAGGTTGTGAGGAGTGCAACGTCATAAGACTAAACGCCTGGCCCATTAGAGCGTTTCGGATCTGAATCTCGGGGGTGTTGCACCTAAAACACCAGTGATTGGATCACACCAGCCCCAAGATGTTAATGCCTTGACTGGTTTCTCTGACAGAAACAAAATGAAAGGAAATATTCTGTAAAGCAGTAGTGGCTTAGCAATCCATCTCTTTTCTTTGTTTTACTATGCATTTGACATTCAACAAAGTTATACTATATCCACTTAGACTGTCAGAAGTCTAGATCTACAGATGGGACACTGATCTCAGACATTCCGCGCATTACAACAATGCACATCCTACAGTTTCGTCCCAGTCTCATCCGCACCAGCCTCTTTAGCCAATGCCCAAGCGAACTTTGCCAGAGATCCCCTCGTCACAGCGTGCTGTTTTGCCTTCTCACTACTCGCCTGCCTCAGCGCATATCGCGCCGCGATTCCTTGACAAACACCAGCCAGCTTCCAGATGCTGAACGACATTCCCCATGGTACCTCTGGCCGAGGATCGTATCCGCTCTCCTCTGTGTACCACTCCAGGATCTGCTCTGGTTGTGGAAGACCGGGCGTCTTGCCGGGGAGAAATCCGGATGCATCATAAGGAGTCGCACCGGGGGATTTGGCCGAGTAGAAGTTTATAAGAAAGTTGCAAATGTCGGAGAGCGGATGTCCAACAGTAGACATCTCCCAACTGTAGAATATGCGTTAGCAACTAATTATGGGATGGGACAGGTGAGCATACTCCAAGATTCCAATGACTTTTGGTTCAGTCTTGTGAAATACCAAATTGTCAATCTTATAATCTCCATGTACCAGTGTTGCCCGGTCCTTGGGTTGCAGACGCTCATTCTTGAAGAAGCGAACCGTTTCCTCAAAGTGTGGGAGCTTGCCAACAGGCTCCTTGGTCTCAATGTCGACGGCCTTTTCCTGACTACCACAAATAGTCACCCACGTGTTGATCTGTCGCGAATAGAAACCTGATGGTTTGCCAAACTTCTCCAGACCGGCCTTCTTGTAGTCAACTGCATGGAAGCGTGCCAGCGTTACCACGGCATCGCGCCACATAGCCTCACGCTCGGCGGGTTCCACGCCTGGCATGGTAAAGTCTTCGAAGATACGTCCATCGAGGAATTCCATGATATAGAATGGTGTGCCAATAACAGAGTCATCCTCGCATAGACAGTACGTTTTGGGTACAGCAACATCAGTGTTCTCCAGAGCATGCATGATGCGGTATTCGCGCTCAACCTTGTGGGCTGTCTTGGAAAGGAGCTTTCCAGGTGGCTTCTTGCGCATCACAAAGCGTTGGCCATCTGAAGCAGTAATCTGGTATGTAGGATTGGATTGGCCGAAACCAAACTGTTTGACATCAGCAGCCATCACACTGAGAAGAGCACGAACAACACGCTCACCTGTTTTAGATCAATTGGTGTTTTGATGGTTGGGACATGCTCAGAAATGTATTTCTCAAGCGCCGCCTCATCGACGGGCTGTCGAATTCTACCAGCCATCCCTGAGACAGTGAGGTGGCTAGGTATGTTATTAAGTGAGTAGATATAAGAAATAATGGTAGATGATCGATTTGCTTGTTCAAGGTCACCAAATAGAGGTCGGAGGTTTGAAAGATGAATTGAAGAATCGTTTGGCGAACCTACGATTAAATGATAATTGCAATGTTGAGAGTTAATGTACCCCAGGTGTAAGAACTGACTCGATGAGCTTACCTTGGAACATTTGGCCCCTTGCTAGTCACTAAAGATGCCGAGGTTCAGATCTGGGGGATACAGACCTTATGTGGCCCCTCTTCCCCAAGCTCCCCACAATCCCTAGGTTCGTTCGGTTCCTCGGTTCATCCATGACATCCATGGATACCTAGGTCAATGTTCAACAACGATCTCTTTCTTGTTTGTCATCAATCAGTGTTTCGTGCTCCAAGGCGTGCCAAATATTAATTCACATATATTAATGTAATAGCTCATATTTTCATTATAAAACTCAAATCCCGTTGTTCATTATCACTGTTCAAGGCGGCAAACCTAGCTGTAATCATCCTGTCCACCACTCTTACATGCCTTGGAGGATAATATCCATCTCATTAACAGACTACTGGCATGCACATATAATAAAGGTTCCGCATTACAGGCTCCCACCGCGGACCAGCCGAAGCAGAATACCGCCGTTCAAGAAACAAGCAAACGGTATTATAAAAGAATAGTCCTTCCTGCTCGCTGATTTCCACCTCATCCATCCATATCCGTCTCACCACCACAACGCAAGACATGAAGTGAATGCTCATGCCAAAGAGAAAACAGACAAATGAAAATTAACAAAAGAAACCATGGTGACAAGCCCTCCAAGTAGCTTCCTGGCCCAAGGTAAGAGAACAGAATATTCCGTGGTATCAGTATCCATAACGCCAAGCCCCTCCGTCTGATGCGGTCGTAGTACATGGATCAATATGTGTCGAGATGTTTGTGGCTGAGAGTCGTATTGTCATTATAGATCATTTACCAGCCCTTCTTCCTTGCGAAGCGCTTGTTCAACAATGCCAACACCTTTGGCACGTTGAACTGGACATATTCCAGGTCAAGGTCATCCTGATTATCCTTTTGCATCTCAAGCAGATCATCAAGCTTGAGATCCAATTCAAGTAGACCCCTATTACGACCTGACTTCAAGTTAGCATGCTAGAGTAACAAGAGAACGAGAGTAGCTTACCCTTGTAGTGCAATGAAATGACGAATGTTCCAGGTAATGGACTGGTAAAGTTGAAGTAGATGTTGGCCCGTCTGTTGTCGGGAACATTGCTCTTCTGGATGACACCCTCCTTCTCGAGCTGCTGGTGTGTGAACTTGTACGGACCAAGGACTTGCTGCTTCTGCTGCTTTCTCTTAGTACCCTCGCTCTGTGATCGAACGTTGTGCAGGTAGCTTTTATAAGTCTCGAGTTGTCCATTGAGATAGACATTATGATCACGGATCGTCTTGTAAACCTCTTGCAGCTTCTGGGTCTCGGTGATAACACCCTCTTTGAGTGATCCGAGATGCTGAAGCTCCTGCTCAACTTCGTCCCGAAGGAGACTGAACTGGTCGGCCTTGTCAATAACGCGCAATTCCTGAAGCTGAGACAACAGCTCCATAGCCCGGATACCTTTGCGAACCATTACTGCATCACTGCGGTTTGTAGCTGCGGCATCAGCAATACGTTCCAGTCGCAGTGGTCGCCTGGCTACCCCACTAGTTGCTGGGATCGATCGCATGACTTGTACGAAAATCGACTTGGCTTCCATGAAATAGACTTCCTCCTGCGTGATATCCAAGGCTGCCGTCAGATCGCCGATAGCTGACTCCCATCTACTGAACAAAGGCAAGTTGATGACTCTGTTCTCTTTTCGTGGCAACTGTGGGGGTGATGCTCCCAACTCCGACATGATGATAGCAAGGTGCGAATTGTCATCCTTGCACAGCTCATCATGATGCTTGTCAAGTAACGAGTGCATGGCGTACACTTCATTGAGGGTAATCTCCAGTTCAAGATCCTTCTTTGACAGCGCAACATAATTATCCATCTCGAGGCTCTCATAGAAATCCTGGACTTCGCAGAGATCAAGCATGAATTTGTTGATTCTGTCCTTGTTTTGATGAATGAACGGTTGGAGCTTAGCCATGTACGGCTCCTTGGCGTAGGATGGCTTGTTCGCGAGGTTCTGAAGCATCTTGGCGATATATGTTAGAGTTCGTCTGGGTCGTTCGGCCGGGGTTCCGTCGATAAGCATGTAGGATTTCGGGGTAACGATCGCAGGGTTAATGAAGCGCAGGAAGAAGAATCCACCGATCAAGGTACAAATAACCTGGTCATTAGCATCTGGGTATTTGCGCTTGGTTAAGCTTCTGATTTGTTTGCAGATCCAACGAATACCATAAGGCGCTTCCTCGAGGCCCTCAATAATGGTGGTCAAGAAGCCATTAGCAATCTCGGTCAACATGGTTAAGCGGGGCTCGATGATGGCCTGGACCTGAGGGTTCTCGGCAGCTTGTTCGCCAGTGATTCCCTTGGGAAGATGGGGAGGTAATTGGCCAGTATCCTCTTCGATCTGTTCAATCATTCGCTCGTAGACCTTGAGCGGGTTGATTTCTAGGTCAAGATCTTTCAGCTCGATTAAGCCGTTGATTCTATCAGCAAGCACGGATTTGAGGAAACTTTGACCAGGACCTCTTCGGGTGTATGTAGTCATCATTCGAGAGACGGGCGTATTAGCGCGGAGCAAGGAGGAGTAGTCTGGTGTGTTGTCGAACTGATATGTCAAGACGGACTAGAGCCTGTGAGACGTGCATTTCTTTCAATGACCTGGAAAACTTACCTGGAACATAGTGAGCAAGAGATGCTCTTCTCGACTCTCGTATTGGTTTCCGTAGATAGTGAACATGACAGTCTGAAGGAGTGAATCAATCTCGGACATCGAGACCAGCCTGCAGAGATGTGCAATGTGCCTAGGCTCAGATTGGAGCAGAAACAAAAGGTTTCCGTATTTCTGAGTTTTATCGTCGTTAGGGAAGACACCCTGCTGCATCTCAAGAGCATCTTCGAGATGGCTGGCAACTTCATTTTGCTGTAACGCTAATCAGAACTCATTCATGTTGATGTTGGTGGGAGACGTACCTCCTCCAAGGCCATACGATTCTGGATAAGCAACGCGATTCGGGAATCTAGATAGCGCACATCTTTTTCCAACACGAAGTTCTTCTTTGACTGTGATGAAATCTTAGACTAAGATCACGCAACGCCTTTTGTGCTGGAATAGGTTAGTTGCTTATCCTCTTCAGGTGTGCACGTAGGCCTACCTTTGGCAAGCTCATCCTCAATCTGTAAGTCTCCTTCGTTGGCGGAAATTGACATGTACAGAGCTGACATCGAGTAGCGCTTCGACTGGCGCGCAGAGCGCGAGCCGTCGTAGGAAGACATGGTGTTTTGGCGTGATATAGGCTGGAAAGAGGAGGAAGAGGCGGTAGAAGCTCGAGATGGTGTTTGTAACATGATGGACATAGTGTGTTTACTGCAATTTAAGATAACAAGGGCTCAGGCTTGTATGCCTCTGGACCCAGACAACGAGCAGCAATTGCGCTGGTGCCGAGCCAAAACTTCCTCAAATGACCAGAATAGCCAAAAGGCAGTGAGTCAGGATGTCCCAATTATGATGAGTCGAGGTAAAGTGTGGCAGCGAAGGCAACGACCAGTTCGAGGTGAATGGTAAGCAACAAGGCGAAGACGGCGTTCAACGGATTAGAGTTGCAAAAGCGGGAAATCGAAAAATAATCAAGGTTGTATCAAAGGAGGTATCGACATCGGTTATGAGGCGAGCACGGCGGTTGGAGGCGCGCAACGGCAATACGTTGGCTCAGAAAACAACGGACAGGAAACAAGCGGCAACGGCAGCTCAATGGGAGCGACAGTATGTCGCTATGCGAAATTTTGAAAATCCTCGATCTCGGGAGGAGCGCAGGAAGCGTTCAAGGAAGAAAGAAGCGCAAAATGAACAACAAAACGGCGGCAGGTTGATGGTGATAACGAAAGTGGAGGTAGGCGGTGGTGGTGTTGGTGGTGGACAAGGCAGAGGCAGGAAGGGGAAGGGGGGCCGTCTGTGATGGAATTGTACAGGCAAGGCAACCAAAAGCGAAGTACCTGAGCTAGAAGGGTACTTGAAGCAGGGTAGTTTAGATAGTGGACTGCAAGGTACCAGACATGGATCTTGCTGTATTTCCGGGCAGATTTATGCACGGCTGAGACGCGGACTTCAGGAGGGAGAGACGGCGCGTGGGACGGTCGGTGGATCGTTGGCGTTCGACGCTGCAGGGTCGTGCGTGCGTTGTGGGCTTGTACTTGTTTGTGTGTGTGGGGAGGATAGGAGGAATTAAAGCGAGCGCGAAACAAGCGGCGACGATGAATGAAAATCTAATGGACTGCTTTTGAGAAGGGAAATGATCGACGTTGAAGAAGAACTGGAAGAACAGAAGAAGATATCCAGAAGAAAAGTGACAAAAACTTAATAAGTTTGTGTGATTCTAGAGTACCTGCCTACTGCTGTACGTCCGAAAAGGAGGGCAAAGGAGAAGAAGGAAAGGTAAGAATCAGGGGCAACTAATGTCATGGAGGGCAGGTAAGAAACAAGACTGAGGTGGCAGACCAAGTGAAAGAGGAGGGAGGGAGGGCGAATCAGAGAATCCGACCAGCTACGTACAGTACCTACCTAGGGATCGGTACCTGAACTGAGATGAGAGAGCAATACCGGTAATGGATGGATGGATGGATGGTGATGATGATGCCCAGTCAAGGCGAACTGGGTGGTATGGATGGGAATGGAATAACGTGGCTGGTCTACCACCTTCAGGTTGGCTAGACTGGTGAGTGAGTATTAGTTACCTTACCTACCTTTACAGAGTTGGTGTAGAGCTTAGAAGCTAGCTCAACCTGAAGTCTTGCTGTATTTTGCAAATACCTTGCCTTGAAAGCCTAAATTTAACACAACGGACGGGACACAATTCAACGGTCAATTATCAAACAGGTTTAACAAAATCACCCGCAGTAGCCCTTCAACAAAATACGCTTGCCATGCACACCACCAGCCGCCATACTACGTAAATATGTGAGATAGATAAGAAACAGAAGAAGGCCAAGCCCTGAAAGGGTTCCATATTATACTGGCTGGGATCAGGGGCAGAGACGAAACTCACGGGAGACAGAGTGGAGTGACGCCGCCCAAAAACATGATCTTTTTCAGAGCGGGCTCTTGCAACGGGAACCCACAGGTGCAATGACGATCAGCAACAACCCGGACTGCTAACGTTGTTGGCCATGGTACCTTAAAACCCCTAACATTCATTAATGAGACCCTGGGATTTTGCGGGCGAGAAACAAAGGCCTCTACAGCAATGACCCCCTGGCTCCAATCAAGTTCAACCGTACAGTACATGTACTTTCATTACAAAAGACTCGAGACTCAATTCAATTACTTGTTGCTTCTATAAAGAAATAATCTGAACAGTCAGTCGCCTTTTGAAATCATGTGGAACGGAGGCGTTGCAATTGCGGCGTTGGCGGGGTTTCTTTGACAGAGGCTTGTAGTCTGATTTGGTAGTATAAACCTCCCGTATTTCTTCTGAGAAAAAGACGACTCGGTGGCAGCTTGGTTACTTGGACAAGCGATTGATCATCCTCTGGTCGTCAGACCGCCAGATTCATGGTCGATCAGAGGGGTTGATCTCAAGAACTCTTTAACAAAGAGTGCCGATAAACACACATGCAGTAAGTAGCTGGATGGTTGGGCTGCGAGTGGGAAGATCCCTGGTTCATAGTTGGTAAGGATTATAGATATGCCCAAATACAAGGATCAAGATAGTAAAAAAAGACTTTGTGCGAACTTCCGGTTGTTTGAGAACTCGGTCAGCTGAAGGATGCGTCCTCGATGATACAGCACTATGAGTGAAAGCCGAGAAGCTGTGACTTGATATGTGCCCAAGCTGAAGCCAAGTCACCAACGGTTATACCGACCTGCAACAGAAGTTAATAGAGCACAGACAGAGCTTCACATTCAACATCCATCCAATTCAAAACGACACGACACGACAGGAGACAGGGGCAGTGGAGGGTTGCCACAGGTGCTCAGTGGTGGATGGTCTGGGCTAAGGGCGCCAAAACAGCCCTCGTGTCTGACAAGGGGAGGAAAAAGAACTTGAGCTTCTTTTGTTCTATATCTCTGTACTACTATAATTGATCAAGATACCTAGTTGGAGTCAGGAATATGTTATGGTTAGAGGAGTATCCTTTGGCATATAGTATACAATATTCATCTATCTTTTTCTGCTCTCACGAGGCCTGCATAAGTTTTCTGTCAATCAACGCTTGTTGAGGGGCAACAAGAGAAAAGAGACATGGAAGATGGGCCCATCCTTGCGTGCCAAGTCAGGGGTAGATTGGACCATCACCCGCTTCGGGCTAGACACAAAGCACAAGGCTCTACTAAAGTGCCTGCACCTGCTTATGCGGGCACTCATGGACGGCTCGCTGTGGATGCCCGCGTGCGTGAGATGGGTAATAATGGAGGGGAAGAATTGGCTCTGATTCAATGTGTGTTGGTTATTGATGCTATTGTGATGGTGATAAAAGTTGAACATCAGTTACATTGCTGCAATGTTGTCATCTTGTCGCCGGGCCATTCGCAGATTGCTTCAAATAGCTAAACATGCCCGCCATTTTGCTCTCTTTACGATGGACCACTAAGCAGGCCCGTGTGACTGAGTGAGGTCATGATGCTCTAGCGAGCGAGTGAATCCACTCGTCGTGGAGAAATAAAGGAAACCGAAGCAACTCCATCAAGGGCCCTGCAGTTGATTGACAATCTTTATTGTACTACTACGTAGTAGGTAGTCAGCTCGTTTTTCATCAAGGAAAAAATGTTCTCGCAAATGATCGTATCTAGGTATTCTTCAACGATAGGGGTTCAGAGCTGCTTTTTCACTGGTCTATACACTATCATCGTCGTGTTAGCGCGTATACACACATTCCAACTGCGGAATGTCTCGCATCACCTTGTCTCTCTTCACTTAGACCCATGTCTCTGGCGTGCTGTGCCTCGTCTTTCCAGGTCCCCTTGCCTGCCATGCGAGCTCCCCCTGTCAGCAACTGAATGTATTCCGAGTCTAGTGGTACCTTACCTGGTTCTTGGCTCCCTGTCCTGTCGTGTGCACAACGACTGCGGTGCGGTTTGAGGCATTGTCGATCGCCGGCAGAGTAACCTGCGATGCAACGATAAAAAACGGCTTCAAAGTTTCGAAGATCACCATCTTGGGCATTATCACAGTAGCAGGCCCAGTTAAAACGGCATGTTGTCACGCAAACTTGACGCTTGGCAGCCCGAAAGAAGACTTCTGATACACGGAGAGTCGGCGATCGTCAGAATCACGTCCTTCTCATATACATTTATGGCTCTCGTCTGTCGAGGAATCGCTAATGTTGACTATCTGCGAGACATGGCTGAATACAACAGCAAGTGGTTTTCGCAAAATGCGCAAGTTATCGCTCCACATTCTGTCTTCTCACGCCATTGCCTTTCCCTTTCATTCAATGACAACGGCTTTGATTGAGGCAGGATTGTCTAGATGACATTGTTACAAGGCGGTTTCTCGAATGGCTAAGCTGATTTGAGGTCTAGACAACGCCAGCCTTCACTCTAGATACTGATGGCTGATCTACTTGGATGCTTACCATCGTTTCTACCAATCACCAAGCAACAGCTGGTTCAAGGCTAAGAGCCACCTGTCTCGACGGCCACTTCTCACATATCACTCGAGGCAAGGGATTGGAATGGAGAGAGAGGAAGCCGAACCCAACCGTTGAACGGTTCAGCATTCTCCAGTTCACTTACATGCAGGAGTAGTTGGAACCTTGCATCTTCAGCTGATAGTTCAGCCTGCCTGATCCCAGAACTTTTGGAAAAAAGAAAGCAGATGTCAAAGCGAGTGATATATCCTGCATCGACAAATTCCTTCACGCCTTGTAACTGCATATGAGGATACATTGCCAAGCAAGAGGTTGCGGCTTAGGCATATCTAGGCCAAGAAACAGCGTTGAAGACTTGCAAAGCTAGCATCGAGATAGCTCCACTCTCAACGACCATGTCCCATGTTTAGATGCGTAAGATTTCTGATCTCAACTCCCGTCAGTACCTCAGGTCAGGATCAGGATACGAGTTGCCTATCCACAATGCACCACGATATGAGAGCTAACCCCCACGTGCTGTCACCATGTTACCTGGGCTCTCAAACCTTCATGTTGGTTATACAAGAAGCCAATTCAGACACGAAGGACTGGACTTTGTTCACCCTACAGATGCTTGTGTCTGATATGCGGCACAGACTGCCAACATACATACAAAATATTATTTCTGGTTCTACTCAAGAGACAAATAGCCGCCAGCGAACCGAGACGCAAGGAGACCCCTTGCATAGCAAGCATCTCATCACGATTGAATGCGCACAGGTGATGTGTTTCTTTATGTTCGTGTTGCCTCTCCATCCGGGGTTCCGGATGGGCCTGTCAACCCTTGATTAATTCTGAAACGAACACCCTTCTGCCAACGGGACGAGCCTAGCCGCCTCCATGGTAAATAAAAAGTACACATGAGTGTAACGTACGTGACCTTTATGCAAATACCCATGTACAGGCTCGGTTGATTCCGGTGTCAGGTCTTTAAACAATGATTATCGAAACTGTGGCCTGTGAGTCAAGACGTACTATATTTCTCGTCCTATGTTATTGTGTCCTTGCTCCCAGAATGGTTGTATGATCGCAAGTTTTCTGGTACCTTAATATCCCACACGCAATTGAACGTGTTGAGACTGTTCGATAGCAAAGCAATGGCTATCAATAGTCCTCAACGAAAGTTCTAACGCTCCATACAAGTATAAAACGCAAGTTTACTTCGACATTCATGCGGTAATGTTGAGATATTGAATAATGTATCTGGTCAAACACTGCATCACTCAGACGGCGTTTCCGGATTGTTAGATACTCATCTGTAACATACATCATGCACCACACTGTTCAATTGCATAAGGGATATTGTTTCAGATTCTCCCGATGACATCGTCTCTATAAATGCATTGGTATTATAGCATGGAAATGGCTCCGAGATATAGCCTCTTGGTATCTCAGTCACACGACAAGATCCCAACCAAAGTTGACGTCTTGCAAACAATAGTATCTTGAACACTAGTTTTGTGTCGTCCACGCTCCTGGAATACTCCTGTTTCATCTATGTACCAGTCATTTGGCACATATTCCATCAACAAGTTCCTTGTTCCCATCGCTATAAGCACAGCCGTCACCTAGTCCGTCGAATTTTCAGGAGGGAAAGATTGGTCGTTGATGTCATGGCGTCGATAAAGAGCTGGGTCCCCAGGGTTTCTCTTCCGGTAATTGTATCTCCCGAAGAATCTGGTGGAAGTGGCTTTGGTAATTCTTCTTGAATATGAAACCGATGGCGGCATCGGACTCAAAATACTCGTGCTGTCTAATGTTGTCGAGTCTCTGACTCTGAAGCACGTAATGATCGTAAATCGGGTGTTTTCGAGGCATGTAAAGGTGACCACACATCCTTTTCGCGTGTGTCTGTACGGATAAGCCGCTTTCTATGTGATCGCGGGTTCTGTTCGCTCGGCTGGTGTAGGGGGGATCTCCTTGTGCACATTGAGACTGAACCCTGAAGTCGACAACGTAAACCACATGAGTATGAAGGCGCCAAGTTGGAGTCTGTGTAGGCAAAGTGTCGAGCATTATCTGTGGCAGATTTTCACTTGTGACCTGTTGAGTAAAACCTGGTCGCTGAAGCGGGATGTTCCCCAGAGTATCGTGTTCGTCAAATGTCAAATACATGTCTTTTATGATCGATATTGTCGGTAAAATCAAGCCATCTTACTGTCTTGGGCTTGTTTCGCTTCTCAATCAGATATAGTCGTGTAGCCTTTCGAAAGAAATCATTCGGAGGGAGCCCAACCGCCTTTAGTAGAAAGGTTTGTGGTTTCAAATGAGGGTGAGGCGCATAGAAACTCGCTCGGTAAAGATTCGCAGGGTTGTATATGTAGTCACTCTTGAATTATGAGCATTTGGAGATCTTCATAAATAGCTGGAGGAGTTGAGCTTTTCTCCTCTACCGTAGGCAGCAACAGCGGATACAGGCAGGAGGTGTGCCCGAACTGATGCATTTCAAGAATGGAAGGCACACTGCATACAGCAGTGCCACTTGAATAGCTGCATATTCCTTCATCATTCTATTGTTACCAGCAAACAACAATAAGTAGGAAACCTCGCAATGCCCAAAGCATAATGACATCTTTATCACTATTCACCAGAAACTCCTTAGCAATAGGTAACTTGAATGGTACCTATTGAGAAGATTCTCCATACTTTTCTATCGCCTACATACCTTCCTATGGTCCAATTATTTCTAGTTGGTAGCAGAAGACTTTGATATCTTCCTTTCAGTTTGGTTGATGTAACACGTCGATAGAGGTCATTCGTCAGCGAGGCCACCTACGGATGGATATGTGCAGCTTATAGCCCCGAAGCAATCAGTAGTAACCAATTACCGAAGAGTAAGTGAAGAGGTACAAAAAGCATTGCTTTGTATTTTGCCAGTGACACGATCACTATTTTCCCGCACAAAATTGCGTAATGCAACAAGCCAGTACATCAGCTTTCAACAAACGAGCTCCACTGCGCTAAGGAGCTCAACGTGATGTCATTTGTAACGCAGCTGTCCCAAGCTCCATCCTCCGCCGTGAAACTCAATTGGCAAACCAAGAAGCAATTGACCACGCGTACCTCTCAGAAATAACATATACGCTTCACAAATATATCTGCAAAACCTTCAGCAATGTCCTTCCGAGCTCCTCTCCGACGTATCGCCCTCGCCAGGCCTGCTTTTGCTACACGGGGCTTCCACTCAACCCCTCGTGCTTTGGTCCGCATTGGCCAAGAGATTCCTGACCTTGACGTCCTTCTTGAGGACTCACCCGGTAACAAAGTCAATCTTGCTGAGGAGTTCAAGTCAGCCAATGGATACATCGTCGGCGTTCCTGCTGCCTTTTCCGGAACGTGCTCCAGCAAGCACATCCCCTCTTACATCAACCACCCCAAGCTCAAGCAGGCCGGTCAGGTCTTTGTTGTATCTGTCAATGATCCCTTTGTGTAAGTTCAACCACCATGAATCGTCTGATATAATAACAATATGGCATGTTTCTGACTGTGTATTACAGCATGAAGGCTTGGAGCGAGCAGCTCGACCCCGCTAAGCAGACCGGCGTGAGTCAACTTTTTAAACATAAAACCCCCCTGATTCAAGGTTCCGGTTTGTTCCTCTAACTTTTCTCAGATCCGATTCCTTGGTGACCCTACCGGTGAGTTCACTAAGGCTCTGGACCTTGGCTTCGAAGCGTATGCGGTCTTTGGTGGTATGCGAGGAAAGCGATATGCCCTCAAGGTAGAGGATGGCAAGGTCAGCAAGGCGTACGTCGAGCCTGACAACACTGGCAGCGCTGGTAAGTAATATACTAAGGTCCTTTATCATGTCCACATTGGCTAACATCATGTCTACTAGTCTCCATGGCAGAGCAAGTGCTCGACTAAATTAGCCTATCTATGTATATCTAGGTGCAGTGTCCTTTTGGTGTTATCTCAAACACCTTGAGAGCATCTTGTAATCCAAATATATCACTACAGTACTCATGTGGATTCGTTATCTCAGTCACCCAATTTCTTTTGACTTTGACACCTCCCCCATTTATCATCATGGCCTACTCATTCAACCATCTTGATCTTCACAAATATCAACCTCTCAACAAAAGCCTTCCTCGATCTTGACACATCGATTTAACATGACAAAAGGGGACAAGCTACCTTCGAAGCAGCCTTATTGTCAGTGTTTTGCTTCTGGGTACGATACTTTCCCGGTGGGATGGGCTTCCTGGTCAACGAGCCACGGCTTCAGACTCTTGTGACAATATCCTCATCGCTTCCACGACCATCATGCTGCCCAACTCTTCTAGAGCCACAGTTTTTCGAACTCACGTTTGGCGAGCAGAGTAAGTTGCTCAGTGTCAGTACCATGCCATTTCATGTGGTAGATGTATTGTCACAAGTTTACCCCCGCTAACCCATCACCCGTGCAAACCTTAGCTAATATGGAAACCTCACATCCACCTGTTTGGTCTGAACCTTTTGTCTCTGATTCAGATATATTGTGACGCAGGCCTGGTGGAAAAGCTGGTCGTTTCCAGTTGTCCAGTGATAGGAAGAGTGGCGGCATGGGAGGTGCAGAGTTTCAAGCGCAGTCTTGAAATATCACAGGTTGCAGCTGCAGGGTAAAGGTTAAAGGTCCTCCTGGGGCTGTGGCTGTGTAGGTGTTCTCACCTCTCATTTTCTTTTGGAGATCTTTGATATCACCTGCGAACTTCAAGAGGGCGTGTTATTACACAAGACTCTGTTGCGAATGACACATTTCTGGCTAAGATCATAGGATCCTATCGAAACCATTGCTGATGATACCTGTCCTGGGGGTTGGCGGTCATAACTCGGCATGAGTATTGAAACTCTCAGCAGTTGTGGCAATGAAGGATTCTACTCGCTCTTGCGTATCTGTTGAGTTAGCTTGCGTTGGTACTGTACCATTCGCAACATGCGTTGCCTTTGGTTTTAAGATCCAGATACTACTGCCAATAACATATTACGCATACAGTTCTAAATATTCAACAGCACTCTACAGTTCCAGGGTGGTTTCTCCGACGACAGTTGGAATCATCCATTGTCTTAATCACGACAACTGTTCTATTACAGTCCGTGTTGATACCATGTTCAAGGGAGGACAGGAGAGGCTTCCGGTGTGGTCTACCCTATACCTGCCACAAGACCAAACAGCATGCACTTGGGAATGCATTCTTAATAAAATAACCATCAGTCGACAAGACATATAATAATTATTATTATTTCCTGTATGAGGATTGTGGATCAAGTGAACGGGAATCATCATATCAACTCGGTCAAGTTTGTACAGTTCTTAAGTTCAGTAAAACTTTAACATGTCGCAAATATTGCCGTAGTCAACATGGAAAAACACCTTGCATAGAAAACATCATATCAACTACTTCACTAATACTATACATTACGGAAATAGCGACGTCGTTGATGTGGCGGCAACTTCTTGTTGTTCCCTCACTTGGTATACTAAAGACATATTGAACAGAAACGACTTTGGAGTGGACTGACCAATATCACATCACTATCACTAGACATATCATTCTTACCGGACAGGGAACGCTTGTCAATTCGATAGCCGAAAAGTTCCATCAAAACGGGGATACCTATGGCGGCACGTCCCTCAGATTGCAGCTTTTGAGACAAAGCAATGCCTTCCAAACAAGGACTCAACCGCCGTGGCCCGAGATGATGATCGCCGACTGGCCGTGTCTAAGCTTGGAACGGAGAGCGCTTTGAAGACTTTGATGAACGTAACAGCGGCGACGAATGAGAATCCATCGCAAGGGCTTGGGCTTGTCACCCCAAATGAGTTGAAACTAGACCAGGGCGAAAGAAAGGCTAATGAGGAGCTTGCAGAGGGGTCGGGACGCGTCTGGAACGCGATATCGTGAGCAACCTTGTTGAGTGGTGAATTTAGGCGCGCAACAAGGGTATTGGAGGAAATGTCAGAAATGATTAACTGCGAATCAAAGCTCGACAATGAATTAAAGATGCCCGGATATGTGACGGCCGCGTGTGACCCGGGCCTAGTTTCGAGATGATAAACCTAGATGTAGTCATAAGTGATACCGCTGGAGGTATGAATCATGTCAAGATAGTGACCAAAACTCAGGAGCTCAAATTACGGCTGAGGTGATAATCGGATATTGGAAGTGTGACTTGGGCGGCCGGCGGCCGCGAAGTGAGGAAACAAATAGCTTAGCCTTCATCCAAGACAGGGCTCCTTGAGCTACGGGATATCATCACTCGATCGAGTTGGGTTTCGTTGTTTACTGGATGCTGTAATCAGGTACAGTGGGATGCAAAAAGTATTCGCAGGTGTGCAGCTAGGCTTGATGCTTGGGAGCTAGTTAGGGGTAGCTTTCTAGGTCCTCAGTACCTTATATTACACCTATATCAGGCGGATAACTTAGTATCAGGTACCCAGGCTAAGCTTAGCTACTAACTAGAGAAGCATGGGCCTAACTGCACACCTGCGAATACGTTTTGCATCCCACTGTAGACCTTGCAAGTGGGCTGATAGTCACAACTATCAAGGCGTCACAGCTATTGCAGACTGATGTCGAGATACAAGGCGGACAGACCGGATCTAACCATACAGTCCATCAGGCTCTGTTACGTAGATGGATGCGCTGTTGCCCAAGACAGTCACTTCTCAAAAGGTATGTATTTGCGTAAAACATGGCTGTCGATATTGGGCTGTTATACATGCATGCAATCCTAGATCATGAGGCGGCTACATGCATTGATGTTGTGATATGGGATGATTGGGAAGTATTAAACCATGGCGCTGATGTTCCGGCACTCACACTCACATGTAGTAGAAGAACAATATGCGTCATGGCTCGCTAGGTATCGCTTATATCTGAATACCAAATCTGGTGTTGAATCCAATCGGAAGATTATCGATCCATGGTAACCAATTGATACTGAAGCCTCAGTTCTGTAACCTTGCATTGCTCTGCAAACGAAGAAGAGAAGGGAAAAGATGATGGATCTCTACCCAACCACACCACACCAACCCAAGCTACCTAGCCGCAGACCAAGCTGTGATAACTGGTCAACCAAGGCACATGCATCCGCACAGCAAAGACCAAGACATGGGGGGTTATTGGGAGACACACCACCACCACGCGGTTACGCCCCCACCATCCCAGCAGACGACGTGCGATCTCGAGACAAGTATGGAGGTATAGGCTATAGCTGAGGAGCAATATGACAGACAATGCACTGTAGTGAGTGAGTGAGTGCATTTCATTAATGCGATGCGATGCGGTGCGTGAGATCAAGCACAGCCGACAACGCACCAATGTTGTACCCCCATATCTGAGACTCTGACATGAAAATTGACTTCCTGTTCGGCAAAATACCGTTGCAACTTTGCGTCGTCGTCTCAGGATACGATGACATTACATCGGCCCCCGAAGCAAAAAGAGACACAATAGATGTCAATTGAAGGTACGCGCCGCGTCCGCGTGCAACGGGAACACAAAGAGTTCCTCTCGTCCACATGCGGAGCCTACGGCAGGACGTCCCGCATATTTCCCCCCATTGAGGTGCAACGACCGTGTTACCATTACCGTGATCCACAAGCCAAGGATCCACGGCCACTCACCGACTCCATAGCTCTTACGTACGAACGAACGAACTGCTGCAGCCAGTTTGAGACATTCAAGACTGCACCTAATGAGGTGAGCAGCTACAGGGCTTGACGACAGTGACGCGGGAAGAGAGGTTCAATGTACGGAGGTATCGTTGCTTTATTCTCAAATTCGAATAGAGAGCCCTCGTATTGTGATTGCGTCTTTTCTTGACCCAGGCCTCCACTCGTACAAGAGACGGATGGGTACTGTAGCACGTCCAAGGGATCCTGCACGTGGATCTTCGCGCTGTGGAGCTACACTCTCAAGCTCTTGACAGGCTACGAGCAGGCAAAAAGAAACACCTCCGATGAACGAGATCAAAGCCAAGTTCATAACTTCTACAATGAGGCTGGAAATGTATCTAATCCCACACAACCAGTGAGGAAGAGGTCCAGATCGCTGGATTCAGGCTGTGAGCGAGTGCCAATAATATCACACCGACTTTTGCCAATCGTTTACATCAATTCAAGGTTGCCATGATCTTCTCAGCCAGCTTCGTTTCACTGCATTGCATGCATGTGACCAAGAAGAGGCAAATTATTTCGTCACGTGTCTATAAGTTGGGGTTCAGATACTGTGACGCTGAGATGCTTCTGCTTAAACGCCTGAGCTTTGGAAAGAACCAGAACCAGAACCAGGTACCGAAGACCTGATGAAGCTGGAGATGTTTGAGGCCTGCCCACTGACATCAAAATGTACAGCCTTGTAACAGTGGGATATCGATAGCGTATCGATTTAAACGAGCCTGGGCACCAGCTAACTAACCAGCAGAATGCCTTACCTTAGCGACCGCTCTTCGTGAGTCAAAGCAGGCTATCTCTTTGTGAACTTGACAGAAGCTCATGAAGAAGCTTGCAGCTTTTGAGCAACACCTTGTGCCCCGTTATGCCGGCTGTCGGGATGTTAATAACTCGGGGCTAATTTTAGTCCAAGTCGGATTGCCAACTCATCCACACACCATCCAACCCGGACAATGATCGGCCGACAAGAAAGAGAGGGGTGAGAAACACGGTTTGTGTTTCGACCACGATTTCTGTCGTCACTCTGTGACAGCTCGCGACATCTTGTTTGTTACCCGGATGGGGAAGGAAATAAAACTTAGTAACATTATCCTAACGACAAAAAGATTTAAGTACATCTAGTATAGACTTTAGTAGGCCTTTAGATTCCTTTATTTTATCACCCTAGCTTAACGTCAGAAGTTTTCTTGCTCCCTGAGGCCTGGGAGCTGAAGTTGCGAGAAAGAAGAGGTAACCAAGTATTGGGATACAAGATCTAGAGAGGAGCGGTCTGGAAAAGAACGATAGAGATGATGTACTCGAGTGGGAAGACAAACGTTCATCCTCTATCCCACCATCTCCTCATTCCTCCAACAAAGCAAGTTTACCTGTGCCAATTCTCAATCGACCTCACAGCAGGGTTTGTTGAAGCATCAGATAAGAAGTTTGATTCTTGGGGTTTGACAACTCGGAACACCGGAATAGAGGTGGTCAATGCCGAAGACCAAAGAGCTTAACAGAGGCTGTGACGGTGATGCTATGGCAGCTGTCGGCAGTATAATATCGTCTGATTTGACGAGTTTCTTGAAAGTGCCAGTAAAATTAATTCATACTTGACTTTCCTGTTTGTAAATATCAGTCTCTCAATGGACTGAACAAGACGAATGTAAATATCTCGAGGCTCAAGGTTTGTTTTGGATTCACACCCCAATGACCCAGCCACCACATTGGACACCCCCACCTAAGTGGACCCCGCACAAACACAGACACCTCACCAGGGTTAAAAAGAGAGGAAGGTGCGCTCCTTGCGTCACAGTCTGTCTCCCAATTAAAACCTGACGCGGCTGGAGACCCACATTCGGAGCTGATTCATCCAGTCAAAGGAAGTTGTAAAAACAGACTGGATCCCGCCCCTCAAATCATCTCGTCGCATTTTCCCTCGTCCTCTCCTTCTTCACGGCCAATCAATCCTCCTGTTCTCGTCCACTCAACGAGCAATCAGAATCGTCCAAGGCCTCTCGAAACATTTGATTTGATTGACCTATGTCGCTACCTTTATTCTCTGGCCATTCACAATTCACAAGCACTTCTTCCCTTGATTGGATCATACACGCGCGCAAGACCAGCAATCGCTCCCGCCCGCGAACCACAGACAGTAAACGCTCTGTGCTTGCAAGCCCAGTCAAGTTCTGCTATTCGCTCAACGCCCGCCATATCACCCCAAAGGGCAACGCATAGCACGGCAGACTATTGCTACCAGCTTCAGCCCTATCAGCTAAGACCGACTAATAAACTGAACTGTTCTGGCATCCAGGGCTGCGCTTCAGTGTTATTACCACGGACAGCTTATTTCTATTGCTCATTCGGCCATAACAAGTCTCCCAAAGCTCAGCTTGTCACTTTCCAGCCCCCAAGCAATTTTTCAGCTCAGGGCCAAGGTCAAGACCGGGTTGGAAGTACTTTACCTCAAAAGCCTCATCATTGTGCGATAACAACCACCTACGACTTTACCAACCTTACCTCTTTATCTCAGGTATCAAGACATTGATTCTCCCACAAATCATTGCTCCCTTTGATTTCCTCCTCCCAGCCTCGTTCTCAGAAACGCACTCCCCTTGGGCGATCTTCGACGAAGCTAGCGCTGTGATCTCACCTGAAGACCCCCATACACGCGATCATCCTCTAGGCAGTATTGTCCAAGACGCGTCCGACTTGCACCGGAGACAGTCAACAACCCTGATCTTCTGACAAGATTTTTCCTGCCGAACTCGGATAGACTTGACTTTGCACTGCCTTGTCTCCCCTTTAATCCCTGTTGGCCTGTCAATTCACTTCCAAGCGCAAGCCCATACTTGCCGCGCGACAAGACGAGCCTTCACTCGCCCGAGACAACCCACCCACTCCAATTCAATTTAACCCACCTCGCTCCATCAGCAAATCAGCACTCTTTCGCACTTCGCTTCGCCTTTTCAACTTCACGACTTCGAGGCCTATCATCGTCAACAGCATCATAGTGACCATTTCCATTGGTCGCATTACCCGTCACCTGACACTTCTTGTCTGCGGATCTCGATTTTACCCCGGATTTGACTCTTGTCAACCGGCGTCGGAAACGAGGTTGTACGAGTAAGCCTTGAGCGCGCTCAGTATTCCATCAAACCGTGCACCCGCGTGTGCATCATATCCGTAACAAAAGGTACGTAGAACATCAGTTTCTATCACAATCGTCCAGGCATTTCCCCACCCTTTGGCATCGTTACCGTGTGCTTTATCATTGCACTTGTCCTCTACTTAACCCCATTGTAAAAAAAAGTGAGCGCGTCGTGTCGCGGTGATCATCAGATCGTGTCAGCGCTCCCTTGTTGCCATCATTTCACCCTCAAAACGCGTTTCCCCATCAAGTGTTTGCTTCAACGCGCATTTCATGCTGTCGCCTATAGCTTGTGGTGCAACGAGGATTTCCCTATCTTTTGGTGACCACTTACACCAAAACTGGAGACGAAGTTGGCAAACTTGTACCGCAACTTAGACTGACAACATTAATAGCCTGTCACCGCACCGGCGCCTTATTTGATCGGGACAATCCTAAACGTATGTATCACGTGTTTATTCTGTTTTATAATGCCTTGATCACCATTTCTGTCATTACACTCTGGAGTTTGATTCATCAGTGCCGACAACCGCCCACCATTATGATGGGCTTTTCTGCTGCGTTACCCGTTTTGCTCGTACCAAAGCGAGATGTGCCACTTTGGCGAAATTCCCATTCACTCCACCACATAAAGCATTGTCCCTTCTTCAATAAATCGAGGTAGTCCAGTGTCTACTTGGTCACACAAATGATGATGTTGAAAAACATGCATGCCCCCCTGCCTGTATCATTACACTTGACTTCACAAGCCTTGATATGCACGCCCGTCCATTCGAGTGTCTCATTCTTATGACCAGCCAATACCCCGCTTCAAGACCCTGTTGCGAGGCGCAGGGCCGCAGCTACTACCAGAATTTCGGGAGTGATTAGATCATGGCCGCCAACGCATGGAAGCCTATACCTTTGGAAGTTCAAACGGTGTTTCTGGACAAGGCAGCCTGGAAGTCCTTTTTATGTTGTCATGCGGCATGATGAACGGGCGTCAGTCTTGTTGAAGTATCTTGCCCAAGACTGTCAGCGACATCAGTGGCCACGCAGAACGCCAGAACAAAGAGCCGCATGCTCTACCCCCAGTATTTAAATCTGCCCAACGAAGGAAGTCTCCTACTTTGAGGCCTCGAGCATCAATTATCTTACAGTACTTGCTGCTCTGGGCCAAAGCTAGTGGGCTGGCCGAGTGGGAGATGTGGGCCCGTCCATTGCATATTCCGTCATGCATGAGACGCTGAGCTGCCAACGCATCAAGAGTGGCTTTACAAAGCCCATCAGCACCCTTTACCCTTCCCGCCCCCATTTTTCTACCGTCTCCTTTATCCTAGTTTAGCATATATACACCTCAGCTAACGCCTATGGTTGGACAGATCTCTTACAACAAGCAACTGACCAGACAGCACCGTCTCTGCCACCGCTGCTTGTCTTTTGTTTTATTTCCACCCTTGGATTCGACGATATTCATTCGCGTGGCTGTGTAAATAGTTTCATCAGCCACTCCAGGCAACATTGAGCCACAGCAGCACCAGCTCGTTTCGGCTTGCCAGCTCAACCACGCGTACCCAATTGCCTTAGTGCGCCTCATTCCAGAGTCTCTTCGTATTAGAGAGGGTTTCCAACACTCGAGCCCGACTGCTCCCAAACGAACATCGGTTTCTATCATTGTATAGTCGACGATTAGTTCCTACGATCACGCTTATTCACTCTCCGTTATCTTTCAAAGCTCTTATTGCAGCGACATCCGATAACGCGTCAAGTATTGAACAATTGTATTGGTCTTACACGCGATCAACGAATAGCAACGCGACGAGGACGTATTTCCTCGACACTTAGTGATCAGACTGGATTCTTAGTGGAGAATGGACTACAGTCAATATCAACAAGGACAAAATACACATCCCGGTTACGCGAACTCTGCTACTGCTAATAACATCGCTTCACCAACGAATACCATTCCCCAGCACACGGTACAATCCTCACCTGTCATCGCTTCTCAACAGCAACAAACTCAACCACAAGGACACAACATGTACGGACCACAATACGGAGTGGCACAGCAGGGGATGCACTATGCGATGCCCGGTATACAGGCGGCCGCGATGGCAGCGACCGCCGCTGCTTCTGGCACCAACTACGGTTATATGTCTTCAGATCCCAATATTCCTCAAAGTTCGCCTCGCATGGGTGCCAGTGCCAAAAAGGACGGACGGCAATCCCCTCGAATGAACAGCATGTCCCAAATACCCGGTCGTAGAATGAGCCAGGTTACGAGCCCCGGCGTTCCGACAGCGCCCATGATGAGCCATGGCGGTGCTCGACCAGGCGTTGCCCCATCTCAGATGCCCGCTCCCCAGATGCAACACCCACAATCCCCGGAAATGCCAGCCGCAAGTGGTGCTGAGGAGTCTCCGCTTTACGTGAACGCTAAGCAATTCCATCGCATACTCAAGCGTCGTGTTGCTCGACAGAAACTTGAGGAACAGCTTCGACTGACGTCAAAAGGACGCAAACCATATCTTCACGAGTCGCGCCATAATCATGCGATGCGCAGACCTCGCGGCCCTGGCGGACGTTTCCTCACTGCAGAAGAGGTAGCGGCAATGGACCGCGAAGGTGAAAAGAGTGCCGATGGCAAAGATAATTCTGCTGGGGAAAGCTCCGGCACTACGGGAACAAAGCGCAAGTCTGAAGCCGGCTCGGCCACCTCGAACAAGAAAGCTAAGACGGACACAGCCAGCCCCGGGGATGATGATGAGGATGAGGGTTGATATCGCGAATAAATATCTGTATCACCTTCTTTCTCCTTTTTCACCCTATCAGCGGTTTACGACGTCACGAAAGTACGATTGTTTCTTCTTTTCATCGCCACGCTGCCTGCAAGGGCCTGAATGGTTCCAAACACAGCGAGTATTTCTTTTCGATCGGATGAGAGTGTCTACAGTTATTTACGGGTTGATGATGATCTTGGCACCTTCGTTTACGTGTGACGACGGCTTGTACCGCCCAATCACAATCCGGCACAGCGTCTTTTCTTGACGGGTTTCATTTTAATACAGCACTTAACTGGCAACAGCATACCATCCCGATTTTGGACGGGTGTGACCTTGGGGATAACAGATGGACAGAATGGATGGACGATTCGCTACGATGGATACCCCGTTTCATTATGTTGTTCGATCTTTTCTCCTGTGTCTGCTGTCTCACTTCCTGGCGTACTGGGGCACACGCCAACATTGAACGAGTCCCTGGCAAACGTCGGTCTGGCTACCAACGATAAGCCATACTGCCACTGCGTTCATGGTTCAGGAGTGATTGATGCATCTCATGCACGTGAGAATGGACGACGAATGGGAAAATCGGATTCAAAAAAGAAAAAAGAAAGAGAACGTAGAGGGAACTGAGATGGACAAGATACTGTGTTTATTTTTCACTTATCAAGTGGCTTGGTGAACTCCTCACTGTTTAATGAGGTTCTCAGACGGGGTGTATAGGTTTAGAGTCATCGATGATGGTCCGGCGTTGGATCTGAAGTATAGGAGGATTGTGTTTAAGGATTAAAGCTTGTAAATGTTTTGTTTTAAATTTGATGACTCTTACGTGCCATAGCTACTATCGTGATATGTCCTCTTCCGATATTTGTGACCATCGTTCATCATTCACAAAGTTGACTACGTCACTCGATAAGCTGGCATGAATGAGTACCAGTTTTCAGAGCAAGAGATATAAACAATTGGATTTGTTGAACATAAAAGCATACACTCAGAAACTCAATATGAAAATGGAATGGTGTCAATCTGGCACCCTCAGTATAGATACATAATAGTGACAGTAAATGCCCAAATATCTTGTCCATCATGTCTCATATTCGTAACCATAATTCGTAATCGTGACAAGGCACAATGATACTTGAACATCATTGTCCGATGAGAAAGTGGAAACGCCTTCAGCCGTGATCGTTATACATGTGCGAAACCGAGTAAATCGTAATAAGGACCATGATACTCACTAAACACCACCCAAATCATCCCTCTCGACCTTGGATGCCGTTCTCTTACTCCAGAGCCATGTTATCATCCTCGTAAATAATGTACCACTACTTCGTCTCACCCTAGCCGCTGCGATTGAGATATTGTCCGGGACGTCTGTGATTTCTCGAGGTCGGCTGCGGACTTGGGCCATAAGACGAACAGGTGCGCTGCCAATGGCACCAAGTTTGCGCAGTAGGACACCAAACGAACGTGTTTGGAGGAAGGTAACGAGAAGCATGAAGGGGACACAGACGAGGATCATTGTCAGAGGGAAACGCCAGTCAGTTGCGGGGACTGTGAAGACCGTCATACCGAAGACAGACTGGTTGTTGTTAGTGAAGGCTTGTAAGTAAAAGGCTTTGCTAACGTACCGTGACAAAAGTGAGTGGCAAGAAGATCATGCTGATCATTGTGAGGACTCTGATGTTGTCGCCTTGTTCAATAGCTCTCCGGCTTTCCTTGATGGAGCTTCCACTGAAGAGCTGATCTCGCAAGTTCTCGATCTCCTTACGGGTTCGTTCATTGCGCTTGAGGACCTCTGTAAGCTCTTGGACAACTTTGTCAAGCTCACGGCGCAGTTTAGCCATATGGTCGCGATAGGCAATCCCATCAGGCGAATCAGCGGCGTGATGTGGCCATAGAATTGGGTGGGTGCCAGCCCAGAAGCTGTCGGTGAATGTATCGATGTATGCCGCGATCATTGACTTGATGCCTGTGTTCACAACAGCGAGGGTATTGTACGCCCAGAAGTACCTTCGAATGTAGGTGAAGTGCTTATCTTCAAATAAAAGCTTGTCTCTGAGTTTAGGGTCAAACATGAATTCGGTCTGGAGATGATTAGCATGACGCTGAGATATAAGGGGCTTTATGAACGTACAGGAGGAGTGATGAGCTTGGTAACTCGCTCATGGAGGATCAGATTTCGCTTCGTTGCATCACGATACTCGGAGACGAGTAAGTCCAGAAATGCATATGGCCCATTGACATATTTCTTCTCCTGAAACTCTGGACCACGGACAGTATGAGAGTTATCAGGAAAGCTCTGGATAGCAAGCAACTGCCATGGACCGAATGTATTGAATAGAACACCTTCTCGAGCACGCTCTCTTCTCGAACGCATAGGAGGAGCCTTCTGAGAGTCTCCACCGAGTGACAGAGCCAATACAGAGCCGCACTCAGCAATATCGATATGATCTCCAAGACGACTTTCTGAAGGTCTTTTATCGAAACGCTGCCAAGGAGCCGGTTCAAGAGGGGGACTAACAACTGTGTAGTACTTGAAGACAAAAAAGAAAGACTTCTGACGGACGTTGGGTGTAGGAGGGCTTGGTGGCACTGACAGTCCGGTTGTGAGCGGGACCGGCGATGATGGAGCAACGACGGGTGAGTGAGAAGTTGCTTGAGAGCGAGGCCTCTCGTACGCTCTAGTCATGAAGGCATGAGTACGGCCACGGTTGGGCTCGTCAGAGAGGAGGTGAGTGAGCAGCTCATTCATGTCAAAGTGTGGAGACATGGTCAAGTGAAGTGCTGCAAGGATGAGAGGTGTAGGTTCTTGAATGATGCTACACAATGTTAGCCCAACCCAAGTGAGAGGTCTTATGGAATGGAAGACGTACGTAATTCGACCTACAGACGTGCCGCTTTGGTTGACAACCCTGATTGTTTCCCATATCGTAGGAGCATCGACGTTATCAGCCGAAATCTCATAGGGGCCTTCACCCGTGTACTTGACGTCTGACTGCCCATCTCCATCTCCGTCAGCGCTGAGTTTGGTGAGTTTACAGTTATGGCCAACCTCGTACACTTCAAATGTGGACTGACTGTACTGTTCTCTCTCATACGCCGCAAGAACACGAAACGGCACATCTATATCAATCTCGGAACGTCGCTTCATGATATCGTCAAGGAGAGATGACATTTCAGGAGTGAAATCTTCGCTGTTGAGATGCTGGAGGAGTTGACCATCGGACAAGTCTGCCTGGTCGAGATGATTCCTGACAACATTATGGGGATAGTCCTCAACCTTTCGCGTTGTGGTAGTAGCTGTGGTGTTGTCCAGGAGAGGAATAAAAGAAACATCTTCGTCCTGCGTAAAGACAACGCGATGACTGCCACTTGGTGAACCCGTAAAATGTTGAGGCTCAGCAGATAAAGATGGTGTTTCTTTTGTGCTGTCCAGAGTTGCAGCCCTCCCTCTCCTGAATATAGGAGACAAAGAGCCCTCTGTTGCGAATGTTGGGCCAGTTGAAGCTCTCAAGGGTGGTGTAAAGGCGCCGTAAGGCTCAGGCATAGAGATGCTGCTACGAGCATGGCTCTCTGCCGTGTCTCGTCTATGAGCGATGAGGCCATCTTGAAGGTTTGTCAAAGCGCGTAGATATTGTTCGCGAAAGAGGTCGGTTGCTCTGACAAGATCATCTAGAGCTTGGGAGGAAGTGTTTGTGGTCATTGATGAGATTCACGTCACTTGGCTTGACAATGGAAATATTCACATAATATTCTAATACTATAAAAGTCTCTGTCAAAAGAGGAGATGGAGGTGGAAGGTCGAGGAGTATTTCTATAGTTTCAAACTCGAGCCTGATTTCAAGTCATCGGCGGACCCCGATGAATGTTGCGGCTGAGTCCTGCTCGGTCAACATCCATGGTAAGAGGAAAAGGTAGGGCAAACGAAGATCCCTGAACGAAGCAAGATAAGCTATGTCAAGCTTCTAGCGTGCCAAGTGACGCGGGCACTAACTATGACTTCGAGGACCAACAGGTGTTCGTCCACATGTCACGCATTCCAAGTCACTGGCATATGAGGCAAGCTGCAGCTCTCAACCCTGTCTCAAGGGTAACCTAACTAATAGCCTGAATAAATTACAGCTTGTTTATGGGTGACATCCTTCTCCAGATGCCTCTTCATGTGAATCTCAATACTATGATTGCCATACGCGTCCGTTGCAGCTTCTACCATTGTACACCAACGGATAACTTCCCATCTCATCCATGTGCACATGTGTACGCTATTGCTTCATGATAGGGCTGTCAAGAGCTGTAAGCCTCATTATTCCAAACCCTTACTAAAACACAAATCTTGATTTGAAATGGAGTGAGAGACCGGCCGGGGAATGGAGAATTAGTTCCCTAGGACTTTGACAACAAGGCTGTACTCAAAAAAGGCGTTTGGTCGATCACCAACTCAACTCAACGTTCGCTTGAATACGGCCTCTAGCGGTTGTCAACGGAACGCCATGATGGCGGCGCTGCGGAATTGGATATAAGGCATCTGCTTACTCTACAAAATTACCTGTAGCTCACACTCTATCTCCAACATTGTACGTCATGCAACCATCTTCTCTCACAAACCGGGCGACCCTGAACGCGGATGGCTGAGAGGGTGTACTATATCGCGGGGGTTAGAGTTTCACAGCATCCACGTGCCGAAATTTATCGTCAGAACTTTAGATTATCGCTGATCAACATAGTGTTGAGCAAATGCAATTACGTTTGTCATGTGCCATTGACCAGTCGACGACTACTGCAATGCATGCACTGCTTCCTACTACTGCACCTGTTTATTTGAGCCTCACTATAATGGCCGAAATACAACTGACAGCTGCATGTCTTGCAACAATAGGGTTTAGTTCATACTCCTACATGTCCAACCGATAGCCTCATGTGTCTTATCGACTACCTTAGCTCTATACCCAACCCACCCGCCTGATATCATTCCCTTTCATGTCTTCATAACTCTATAAACAAATAAGCCCCAGCCGGCATATTAAAACCTCTTCGTAGCAATGTCCAATGCCTCGTTCGCATCGCAGCCAAATCACACGCAAATCCCCTCACTTGGAGTGCTTAAGATGCGACACTCACAGGCTTGGCAGCTGGTGCGGCGGGCTTCTCGGCACTGTCAACCTCCATGGCATCACCATCACCGTCAGCCTCAGCCTCGCCCTCGCCTTCTTCCTCCTCCTCAAGCTCCTCCTCACTCTCGCCCTCGATGTCGACACTTCCGTCGTCGGACAGCTCTTCCTCATCCTGAACATTCTCTCCTTCGTTCTCCACGCCAGCCATCTCTGAATCTTCTCCGTTGCTGGCCTTGGCCTTGGAGCTAGCCTCAGCCTCATCAGCTTCAGCGGCCTCCTCCTCCTCGGCCTCTTCAGCACCGTATTCGTCGCCGTCGGCGACAAGATCAGCCTCGGGTTGCTCAGGGGGTACTCAGCGGGAGCAGATGCCTCGGAATCCCTAGAGTTGTGTTAGCTTAGACACCGTTATGGTTTGCTGATTTTTTACTTACCATTTGATGGCAAATCGAGTCACTCGGGGCTTCTCAGCCAAAACATTGCGCTTCACACGCTCAATGATGGGCTTAGCGGGGGGCTCAGCGTTAAGTTCCTCCGAATCATATTCGTTGTTGACGTAGTAACCGACGCGAATGAACTCGCGTCCATCGTAGGCGCAGGTCAGGAGAATAACAGTGACACCGAGAATCTCAGCATCGGGAATGCGCGCGGTTTTGGGGGCATCGGCCTCGAAAACGAACTTGTTGACACCAACGGGGATGGGACCGACGAGAAGGGAGTCGAGTTCTTGGTCGTACTGGTCACTGAGAAGTGTTAGAAGAAGCGGTGTAAGGAGGGGCCTCAATCAAGCTGTTACATACCTGGTAGCGGATCCAACGTAAGTGAGCTTCCACTCAAGATCTGTTCTATATTAGCGCTGTGGTTTTTTCTGCAAGAGAACAAAGCTGCACAAACCCTTTTCCAGCGGCTCGAGGCATTCGAAAGTAATCTCAAACTCGTACTTGTCGGTGAACTTGGCTGGGTTGTTCAGGACATTAACGCCCAAAAGCGAAACGACAGACATTTTGATGAAGATTTGAGAATGTGAACTGGATAGGTCGTAGTCAGGAGCACACTACAGTGGCAAAGATTGAGGGTTTAAAAGGGTAGGGTGAAAAAGAACGAGAGCACAAGTGTCTGGTTCTTTCAGAGGCGTGAACGTTGATGTGGGGAGAGCAAGATGCAAAAGAAGGGAAGAAGAGAGGAATAGAAAGTGGGTGGATGTAGTCGTAGTAGTAGTTGTTTGTGAAGAGCGCCGTACTAGTCTTAATAGCAGTATGCGAGCATGGGTAAAAGAAAACAAGAGCGGATCGATTTCTGGTTGCGACGGGAGATGACTTGCCCTGGGCGTCAGGTCCAAAATGTGAGGAGCGACAGTGGGACGCGTTAGCGGTCATAACCGCGTAGAGAGGTTGCGTTGGGGACGCGACCTCCCTGAGTGGAGTTCGAGGAACTCATCTAGGTCATGTGATCTTAGCAATTATTGTTAGATGGCATGCATTATCCAAAGGCCAACGGGCCGTGATTCATGATATCTTTTCTTTTGGGTATTTCTAGTGTTATGACCCTTATAGAGAGCCACAGTTTGTATGCGCAAGGTAGTCTGCCAATTTATCTGAGAATACACTCATACATAGGTAGTTCTATCCATTGTTATTATTCTCATCCATTTCTTAAAAACCTGCATTACAAGCCTGTTCATATTTCTAGTGACCCACCAAAGTGCGGCTCTAGTATACCTAGTTCGTTCACCGCCTTTGACATTCTAGGCCTAACCTGGGTTCTGCCGCAACTGCTTTGTTCAAGATTACTGTTCTTTGTTGGAGCTATCAGACTTTGAGGCGCTCGACCAAAACCATCCACGCGCAGCTCGACACACGACCATTTCCCCGACCCGGCTCGATTCCACACCTGTCTTTGTTTCGCTGTCTTTGATTTTCTCAGTGGGCACTGAATTCAGTCGCATATCATCCGGAGCCAGCTGGCGCAGCTCCTGGAGCTTGCCTCGTTCGCGACAGATTCTACCCGTTCGTCTCGTATCATCAAGGATTGAATCACCTTCGACCGGGCCCATCGCACCCCTTCAATCGAGATACCCGTGACTCTATCGAGTAGCGGCCCCTTGCGTATTCTCAATTCTGATTCCCCGATTGCCGTTCGCGACTTGAACATTGTCATTCTGGTTTCACTGGCCTTCGCCGACGCGCCTATTGAAATCGCTTCCTTCGCGATCGAGACTTGGCAACACAACCCGTTTCTAAAAATCGCAGGATGGCTTCCGAAGGTGCTTCATGGGGAGGAGAGGATACTAGCGCGCCGGGTGATCAAGTTCAGCATAGCGAGGAACAAGTTGATAACTATGCTCAAGACTCTCTTGCCTCTGGTGACGCTGATACAGCAGATAATGGTACAGAAGATGATGGGGGAGAATATGATCCAGAGTCAGTCACCATCGGCACACCTGCGCCGGTTGCTGAACAGTCTGCCGCCACTGCTCAACGTCAACCGTCTAAGCCCAAGATGTCAGGGGGCTTTATTGTTGAAGCATCCGATGACGAGGACGAGGATGAAGATGAGGCTGACCAGCCTGCCAATACTGCTCCTCAATCGGAAGAAGTGCCATCACTACCCCATCCTGGCCGTTCCACTGCATCTGATGAACCCGCTCAGCCAGCTCCAACCCATACTCCTGTCCCTCCTGCTGTTCCTTCCAATGTGACTCCAGCTTTGGCTGGCCTCGATCCTGTTGCTCTCCTCGAGGCTCGTGTTAAAGAGGATCCTCGTGGGGATATGGATGCTTGGCTTAACTTGATCGCCGACCATAGACGCTCCAGCCGACTTGATCAGGCTCGAAGTACCTATAATCGTTTTCTCGAAATATTTCCACAAGCTGTGAGTGAACTTCATCCCTTCCAGTGATATGTATTAACAACATCCATCAGGCTGACGTCTGGGTCGAATGGATCGAGATGGAGCTTGGCCTTGACAACTTCGTCGATGCTGAACAGCTTTTTGGAAGGTGCCTGATGACTGTACCCAATGTCAAGTTGTGGACAGTCTATCTCAACTATATTCGCCGTCGCAATGACCTCAACAATGATCCTTCGGGTCAGGCTCGCCGGACTATTACTCAGTCCTATGAGTTTGTCATCGACAACATCGGCGTGGACCGAGACTCCGGCAATATCTGGCAAGATTATGTCCAGTTCGTCAAAAACGGCCCTGGTCAAATCGGTGGTACAGGATGGCAGGACCAGCAAAAGATGGACCAATTGCGCAAGGTATACCAACGCGCTATTGCCGTGCCCATGTTGACCGTCAACAACATCTGGAAAGAGTATGACCAATTCGAGATGGGACTGAATAAGATGACTGTACGTTTTACCCCTTGGCCTACAACAACATAAAAACTAACATTAACAGGGACGCAAATTCATTCAAGAGCGCTCGCCAGGCTACATGTCAGCCAAGAGCGCCAATATTGCTTTGGACAACATCACCCGGCACCTCAGACGCACCAATCTTCCCAGGTTACCGCCAGCCCCAGGCTTTGATGGGGACCAGGAATTCAGAGACCAGGTCGAACTGTGGAAGAAGTGGATTGCTTGGGAGAAAGAAGATCCCCTTGTCTTGAAAACCGACGAGCCCAAAACATACAACCAACGGGTACTCTATGTCTACAAGCAAGCGTTGATGGCACTCCGTTTCTGGCCCGAGATCTGGGTTGATGCGGCTGAGTGGTGTTTCCAAAACGACATCCGGGAAAATGACAAAGAATTGGGCACAGAATTGCTGCTTGAAGGTATTCGAGCAAACCGCGAAAGTGTTTTGCTTGCTTTGAAACACGCAGACCACATTGAAGTCAACTATCCTGGCAAAGAGGTCGACAAGGCTGAGTTTGCCCTGGCTGTTCGAAAGCCATATGATGATGTTCTTGAAACATTGTACGAAATGGGCGACAAAGTTAAAGAGCGGGAGAAGTTGGAGGTCTCCACATTGAGACAGGCCGCCGCACAAGATCTGGTTCAAGCTTCCATCGAACATAATGATGACGACGACGAGGAAGACAGCAAGCCTAAGCGTTCGCCCACGGAAGAACGCATTCTTGCAATCCAGAGAGGATACGCTGCTGAAACACAACTTCTGTCCCGTACTATTTCCTATGTCTGGATCGCTCTCGCAAGAGCCATGCGCCGCATTCAAGGCAAAGGCAATCAGTCAGAAGGTGGTTTGCGCAAAGTCTTTACTGATGCACGCCAGAAGGGACGACTCACAAGCGATGTTTACGTAGCCGTCGCCCTTCTTGAGTCTGTTGTCTACAAGGATCCTGTAGGCGCCAAGATCTTCGAAAGAGGCGCCCGTCTGTTCCCCAACGATGAGATGTTCATGATAGAATACTTGAAGTATCTTCATTCCAAGGACGACACGACTAGTAGGTTCAAAATATCTAACGAGGCAACGTTTGAAGTTAACCACTTTTAGATGCGCGAGCCGTGTTCGAGACTTGTGTCACCCGACTGGTCTCCAAACCAGAGACTCTAGCAAAGGCAAAGCCGCTTTACGCCTATTTCCACAAGTACGAATCGCAATATGGCGAGCTATCGCAAATCTCCAAGCTGGAGGACCGGATGGCAGAACTCTTCCCTGAGGATCCCAAACTTAAGTATTTTGTTGCCAGGTTTTCATCTGACAAGTTTGACCCAGTTGCTGCCCCTATTATCATTTCAAAGGCGGTGCAAATGAGGCCAAAGCAAGCCATGCCCACTATGGTCGAGCAGCCTATCTCACTGCGAAACAGCCCCATGCCAGCGCGACAAGAACAGAGTCCCCGTCCTCAGTATGTTCGGGCAACTGCTTCTCCAAAGCGGCCTCTTGCTGTAGACGATGACGAGCTTAACCCTCCCAAACGACTTGCTCGAGGAGTGTCACCTCTCAAAGGTGCAGCGGGCCGCCGCCTTGATCAACAGCGCCGAAACCAAGCATCAGCGTTACACAGAGATATCACTTTCCTTCTTAACATCCTTCCCCCGTCTCAAAGTTTTGACGCACAGCGTGTTAACCCCACGGCCATGGTCTCGATTCTCCGGGACGTCCAACTTCCTGATGCCGCCACGTTGAAAGCTACAGGTGGTGGCCAGGCACGCTTTGGTAATCCCTCCCACACTAGACAACCTTCGGGTGAGTTCGGCAGCAGACCGCTGAGCCCATACGGAAGAGTGGCGTCTGCGGCCAGCGGGTATAGGAACTCGCCGTTGCGGCCGGAGAGTGGAAATACCTACCAAGCCAATCCCTATCCTCCTCCAGACCCGAGCGGCCAACTACCCGCGTGGCCGCAGGTACCTGGTGGCTACGGCGCACCGGCACCAGGTCAGTTTGGAGGATATCGATTTCAATGAGAAATCACTTAAGACGATGCCAATGATCGACGACAAAGGATCTTGGGCTGTAAACAACATGATCTAATAATACCGGTGAAAAGGGGTTTTTGGATGACGTTGAGGGCCGCGCTGGGATTGTCTTTGCCTCGCGCGTTATGCATGGTATGGCGTTTGGGGGAATCGGACATCAGAAGTGGTGGGTGTCATTGATATTTCGTTTGTTGAGAGGATGAGATGTAGCAAGATTATCTGCTTGCTCAATTGGTATCAAACAACTTCAACAAACTTTTTATAATCGACTCGAGTCCTGGAATGTGTATTTGCTTTGTGATTTGTGGTCTTTGCACCGTTTGTCGAGTTTTTAGCCGTAGACGCCTGCCAGGTGAGAGATGATACCACAGCGGATTGCCACATAGGCCAAATGCAGTGTCTTTAATTCCGTTTGCTGCATGTTTATGAACACTACCGCCACAATACTTTGTTATTCGACAATAAGCACAATGTTTCGTCTAAATAGTTGGCTGTGGCTTTGACCCAAGTCGTTGGACTATCCAAACACTCAACTGACACTCAACCCTGTTTACCAAACGAAAGTCTTTACAAGCTTGTAGCAGGTTTAGATACATTCAAAAATGGCCAATCGTAT